CACTGCCGCTAAGATTATAAATCCAACCAATAAAGCAATCCATAGTCGCATCTTTTTGTTACCCCCCGGTGGTTTCTTCAACCATTCGTTCTTTTCCACACCAAGATCGTAAGTGTCCGTCCCATTGTATCCGGTTTGTGCATTTGTAACATCATTGTATTGTATATTCTCCCCATTCCCATTCGCATTCTTCTTTCCAACTAGACCACCCAAGGCTCCCACAACACCGCCAGCTGCTATGGCTTTTCCACCCGGAGGTGTTCGTGAACCGCTATCTGACATTTTATTCAAACTCAATACAGAAGATCTGTTAACTCGTCTATATCCTAAACCGTCGTCTCCGTCGTCTGCAATTGTATTAGGATCAAATTCAACTAGTTCCGGGTCAATTGCCCTTGAATATCGATTATATGGGTAAGGAGAATCCGAGTAAGGATCTGAAGGAGGATTTCGACCAGAAATAGTCGAACGTGAAGAAGGCGTTGACATTCCGGTGGGGAAAGCAGCAGCATTTAAAGGAGTCAGAGATGATGTTGATGCATCTTGTCGTGGAAACGGGCGTTGGAATGGAGACTCTTGGTATGAAGGTTGTGTCGGATCATAACCCGGGGTATGTCTTGTGGCTTCCACACCACCTTCCCTGGCATTTGAATTTGCGGCACTCATAGCGACGACGTTTCCACCACCTGCGGCTTGATCACTAAAATTATCTGGTCCCGATGGAAGGGTTGTGTTATTGTTTTGATTGCGTATTCTAGATTCCTGACTAGATTGTGACGACCGATGTGGTGGAGGAATTGGTGGACTATCTATTATCGGACTCACGGGTTCCACTTCCCCATAGTTTTCTCGTGAATGTAATAATGAAGCAGAATTTGAAATTCCAATCTGTTGGTTATATGATTCTTGAGCCTGTGATGAATTTGATTGTGAGGCGAAGTTTAGAGGATTACGCGGTTGCGATTGAGGTGGTGGTGGTGGTATAGGATATCTTGGTGGAGATGTTGGTGGAGATACGAGTGAAGAGGAATCTTGGGAATTAAGATGAATATCTTCGAAGGAATATCGTGACATGATGAGGAAAGAAAGGGAGAAAGAAGAGGAGAAAGGGAAGAGACCGGGAAGAGGAGAGTATCTTGAAACCAAACTGTAGCTCTTTTTCGTTTCGGACGATCTTTTACTGGATTCCAACTAATAGTAGGTACTCATAGATTGATAGGAATCCCACTTGTTTTAATTTGGGATGGTGAGGGGGGCAATGGTCGACGGTTGACGGTCGACGGTCGAATAGGATTTTGCACTGGCTCTGGGTCGGATTCTGGGAATGGGAGTTTGGTTTGGAGTTTTTTTTTTTGTTTTGATTTATTATGTGGGACAACTGGGTTTTCTGGTGGTGATGGTGGATTGGACTAATAATGGTACTAAGAGGTGTTTTGATGTATTTCTTCGATTCTTTTATCGATCAAATGTGAAAGCGCAAGGCAAGGATAGAGCAAAGCTTATTTATCGAGAATGGAGGGCGATACGAAAAGATGGGATAATAATACGAGGATGTGGAAGTTATGAATGGCCTCTTTCTCGGAGGGCGAGGGTGAGGGCGAGAGAGAGAGAGGGAGAGGGAGAGGGAGAGGGAGAGGGAGAGGGAGAGGGAGAGAGAGAGAGGGAGAATTATAAAGTTTGAAAAATCCAATCCTCAGTCAAATCAATCAATACCTTTCTTCAACAGTACAATAATACCTCCTTTCCAACTTCCAAGTAGAAAAGCCAATCAAGAAAAGAACAAACTCCGAAACAGGATCAAAAACAAAAATAAAAATAAAAATTAACAACAATACAGAGTATATGGATCACATCACATCCCCAACCATCTTTCCCGCATCATATCATACTTCCTCTTCTCCAATAATATCCATGTTTCCACCCCTTCAACTTAAGAAACAACCACCCACCAACACGAGCTTCCCTCCGTTCTTCCCACCAAGTCCCTACCAACCTCCAACCTCCAACCTCCAGACCCAACTTTTCCACTTCCTCTCCCACCTCTCCCATAATTGGCTAGAAGCCGCGTGTGTGTACTGTACGACGCTGGTACCTTAACTTATCATTACAGTGCAAGACAAAAGAAGAAAATGAAGAAGCTAGAGTGGAGTATCTGAGTACTCGGTACCTTTTGAAAGATAGCTAAATCCAAAGTATAACCGGGAACTTCTTCAACTAAGTCTTTGCTCGAAGCCTCAAATCCTTCCGCCCCCCTCCACTCTGAACGTCTAATCGATTAACCTTCTTTGGTTGGTTGACTGAGAGATCCATTCCATTATTATCCAAGCATGCTCCCTAGGTACTCACTATAATTACATTTTTAGATACCAGACGACCTAGTAGACACTAGCGAGGAACAAATCCGGATGTAGATAGGTATCTAGGCATTTCTGAATACATACGCAAATCTAGACAACAGATTCTAATACCTACAGCTCCAAAAAGACGATATAGATAAATAACAATCCGTCTATCCAACAATATAAAGATTCTCACCGTCTTCAAACCTCTCACTCTCTTCACCCCCCCCAAAAACAGCTCATCGATCGATATACTTCCCCCCAAGAGCTCAACCACACCCCAACCACATACCCACCACAACACAAGCTCGAAAGCAAGTCCCCCAGCCACTATCAGCATCAGGGGTAAACATCGTAGTATACACAACATGATAACCTAGTCTCACAATACCATTGCATACTAGGTACTGGTAGATACTAGCTACGAACACCTAAGTAGTGGATCCCACCGAACCGAACCAGCCAATCCACATCCACATCAAAAGCAAGTAAGCAAGATACAAAAGAAAACGAAGAAAAACCTTGGTTTTACCTACCGAGCCTACTCCGTATCCTTATCCCTCGCAAAAAATAAATTAAAAATGATGACATTTGTTTCAGAGGAGAGTTGGTTATATATTCCGTGTATTGTTATATTGGGAGATTATACGGTTGATAAGTATGGTTATTATATATATCTTCATTCTATATTCATAGATGCATATTAGGTACATATATATACGTTTGAGAAGCAATCGCGATCGGGTGCTTGTGCATTGTACAAAGTCAACCATGCATTTGACATATGCATAGGTACATATTTATGGAGATACATACCATACATACCATACCAAGGTAGACAAATCCAACTTGGAGAGACAGACACCTATTTATCTATCTCTCCCAGAGAGAAAAAAAGAAGAAAAGCAATCGGTCCATCAATCGAAAGATTCATTCATCCATTCATCCGTTCGAACTTTGGATTCATAGCTCTTGAATTAATAGTCTACTCATAGATATTTTACTCTATCCCCCCTCTCCTCCCCCCACCATACTCAATCACTCTACTTCCGAATAGGAGTAAGCGGAAGTACCTACTAAATATCACCCACTCCTTTCTTCCTACCTACCACCTCCTAAATACTTCCTCTACCTCCTCTCCTCCCACCATCCTAACATCTTCTCCATTCATCCATACCAGCACTGTTCCACAAAGCACTCCCCAAGCTCCCAAGCTCCCAAGCAACTAGCATCCCGCTCGGCCCATCGCTCGGTTGTTTGTTCGGTATTTAAACACACCATTCATACCATTTATACCATTCACACCTTGATACCTACCGAGCCCACCTAGGCTCCAGCTACGTAATCTCGAAGTTAGGTAGTCCAGTAACAGCCCAAGTAAACAAATCCCATAGGTACTCGGTACCCCGCAACACAATACCAGCGTCAAATGAGGGGAACCATTACACCCATCTGCATACCGGTACCTATATCAATCAATTACCAAATACCTATTGCAGTCGATACCTCATATGATATGATATGTAATCACCTCGCCAATCTTATAAATCAACCTATTCCAAATACCAATCCAATAGCAATAGCAATAGCAATAGAAATAGAAACAACCACACCCATTCATATCACAAACCTATCCATTTCTTCCTCTCTTCTCTTCTCTTCACATCCCATTCTCTCCACAAAACAAGCATAAGCATAGATAACACACTCCATAAATCAATCAACCAAACCTCTTCCCCGCATCCGCACTTCAAAGAAAGATATCATATATATCTATTCCTCAACAACCCACATACCACACATTATACACACAAACACCTACATCATGACAACCCAAGCCAAAGCCTTCCGCGAACTAATTGGTGCATCACCATCTACCGCTTCCGTGCAGGACAGTGTGTTAATTATTATTGATGCGCAGAATGAGTATGTGTCTCATTTTATTTCATTTCATTTTACTTCATCTCATTTCTCTTCGTTTCTTTCATATTTGAAATATCCATCCATCCATCCATCCATCCATCTTCCTCTTCCCCCACCCATAAAAATCTACTAACCATCCTCTCCCCCTCCAGATACGCCCAAGGCCATCTCAAAGTCTCCCAAGTATCCTCTTCCCGCAAAGCCATTTCCTCCCTCCTCGAAAAATACCGCGCCGCCCAAGGTTCCCTCGCCCACATCGTGCACCAAGTTCCCGCGGGGGCCCCCGTCTTCACACCCGACACTGAGCTCGCACAGGAATTCGAAGAGCTAACGCCCAAGAACGATGAGAAAGTGATTGCCAAACAATACCCTGGTTCCTTTACCGGAACAGATTTAGAAGCCTATATTAAAGAGACGGGGAAATCAAAGCTCGTGTTGACGGGATACATGGCGCATGTGTGTGTGAGTACGACGGCGAGACAGGCCGCCGAGAAGGGATATGAGGTTTTGTTTGTGGAGGATGCGATTGGAGATCGAGATATTCCGGGAGTGAAGGCGGAGGAGTTGGTTAAGACGGTTTTGGCGGAGTTGGCGGATGCTTTTGGGACGGTGGTGAAGTCCAGTGAGATCAATTAAGATAGGTATCATTGTTTAATCTAAATTGATGGTATGCTCTGAATTTTCTGGCATATCTGAAATATGTTGCTAGTGAGAGTTCGCCTTCGGTTACACCCCCTTTCAAACAGTTGATTGGTTTCGCCAGTATATCTTTGTATCTGAGAAATCATGTCGAAGTTGTGGGAAATTTATTGTTTCGCAATCTTTGACCATATCGTCTAGATGTTGTTCGAGAGTTTCTGTTTTTGATCTGCGAAATGTCAACATCTGTCAATAAATATATGTCAAATAACTTACAACCACAGATTTGAAAAGTTATTTACGTCTGTTCCTATGAGGACTGCGGGTCGAGGTCCTTGACTAATAGTCTTGTAAACTGGTCCATAACAATGTATCGCATATACAAGAGTGTCCTCATTAATATAATCAAATGCCAAAGGGTCGTCCACTACTTTCCCACCCAAAGATGTGAAGAACTCCTTGTCACCTTCAGTATTTTGCGGGTCTTGAAATATGCATTGTATCTTATCCTCACCCATACCACCTAAAATATTATTAGTCCTAGTATTCCCAACCTGCGACCCCGAACACAACTTACCAAACTCCTCGATAATCATCATCAAAGCCGCCAATTGAGTATAACTACTCCTCCTTCCCTCCCTCCTCGCACTCTGCAAACTTCCCAATCCCAAGCAAACTATATTCTTCACCGCGCTCCTCCCATGTAAAATCTTCTTCAACTGACCAGCTGCCTCATTACTCTCCCACTGCTTCCTATAGTTATCCAAATCCGCCTGCATCTCCTCCATCGTGCGCTCAATATACGCGACCCCATCTTTCACAAAATCTCCCGCATGCGTCCAGGTCTCTGCAGTACCCGTCTTGTTCCCTCCACCCACAACATGTGTCCAGCCCTCTCCATCCTCTATCTGTTTCCGCTTCGTCGACTGCGCAATCTTTTTTGTCTTCTCCATCTCTTCTCCAGTTTCCCTAGCTCCACTCTTCTTTTTGCGATTCGTATGCGGCATGGCTGAATCGTCTGTTCCTATCCTATCCTATCGTGCCCGTTTCTCTCGCAACCCAAGAATCTCAATATCCAACGTAAGCAATCTCGCGGATATCCCGCGTCGAGCGATCACGTAGGTAAGCTTCAGCCCGTCGCGTATGACCAAGTGTAACCACCTGCGCAAACGTGGAAGTTTGAAGAAACGCAAACGCCTGGGGTTGTCTGTAGTACAATACAGTCAGCCACGGGAAGAGTAACCTTGACTTTGTTTCCAGATCGCTGGTTGGGCTCTGTGTTTAAAGATTGGAAATCTGGGCTGGAATACTGCGGAGAGTATGCATACGTACGTCTTCAGCTTTTACGAAATCAATATGGAATGTGGAATTTGGGGAGGGGAATGTTGGAGGGGAAAAATGTGTTGCAGGGTTTATTTTTAGATTATGAGATTATCGACTCTATGATATGAATTTATCCAATGGAGGGGCAGATCATACAATCAGAAATATGGCAGAATAGATTAATAATTGCACCGCCTTTTTTGAAAGCAATATCAAAGGCTCAATCAAGCTGCCACTGCCCCCATGATTTTTCGTATCAATTGGGGTCCGTTCATATTTGATTGAGTTTGTTCTTGGGGTCTAGAGAATAGCTACTAGCTCATCATTGTGAGAAGCCGAAGATGAAGTCGTCATTCCATTCTAATGATCCAATGATAGACATAGGTACTATCAATCCGACTATCAACCACACATATCCATACTAAATACTGCCTAGGTATGTCTTCCCTAACCTCAGCTTCTTTCAGCGCTTCCTCTTACCGATGTGATACCACAAGACATAGAACATACAAACGTCTAGATTTATGGTCTTCTATGGGTAAGTCCGGATTTTGACATAATCGTGGCATGTGTATCACAACGTTTACATCTCACTAGTATGTAACATCTTACCGGAGCTTCACGCATCGGAAGGGAGATACAACATGCTGATTTGCAAGACGTGGATGCAATGGGTGTTTGACCCTTGCAGAATTGGTATACGCATTCTGTACGAAGTATCTATCTCGAAACCTTGAATCGAGAGAAAGTAGACTTGGCAGATCAACACAGGATTCCATAAATAAGAGATGGCGATGCAGCCTTGTCTTGGCTATGGAAGTGCAAGTGCAAGTGCAAGTGCATTGAAATTTTGAAGTTGAATTGGAAGGAGGAAAGGAGGATGAGAGGAAGAGATACTACTGCAATGCAAGAGCAAAACAGAGACGAGGGATTAATCATGATTGTCTTTGTGTGAGATTCATAATTCATGTATTGCAACTGAATTGTTGATGATACTGCATGCGTACATTTAATTTCTATATGCGGATCAGTTCTTCCTGCTAGTTACCATTTGTTGTGTTACGGTAGGTTCGATGCGTTTGATGTAACTGTGATGGCGAGAGTAGTGTGTGATTAGTTTTTTGGTATGGGGGCTCTGGGGCACTGAGGGGTGGTTGAGTTCGGGAGAATTTGTTATTGGGTGGGTTATCAGGTGCGTTCAAGCAAGAAACCAGCATTGAATACAGTGCATGTCGTTCATTTCTATACTCTGGCCTTGATTATCTACTGTTGTCTCTTTTGATATCTGTCAGATCCTACAGAGTATGTACCGATAAACCTGTCTTATCAACATCTCTTGTATCTGCTTCCATATGCACGATGTCCCTTCCGGAGTCTAGAGTCCAGATTCCAGATTCCAGATTCCAGATCCATTTTCCTTCCAAATGAAGAATTTCTATTCGGTGTTAAACCATCCATACAAAGAGCTACTCACTCTATACCCTCTCTAAAAATCAATGATCATCGGTAGTTCCACAAACCCTCCAACCAATCCCCAGTCCCCAATCCCTCAATTCTATCCGGGCGCTTACATCAATTCACCTATTAGCCGGAAACCCCTGTTTTTCACTCACACAACCCATTTCACCTATCACCCCACATCCAATCAATGGCCAATGCACCACACCACAACTTTCCATTCTTCCTACATCTGCATATATCCCATCGACAAATCAATCTCACCCATCACTCCCAATATTGAAGACTTCCATCCTCACTATCCCAAACAAAGTATAACTCTTTCCCTCTCCCATGTCTCCCATGCATACCGTTCCTCTTCTCTCACCTCCTTCTCCCACCTCATTGGCCATGCACATTAAACGCCCATGGTAATCCGACATATATGCACCTAGCATCGAATCTGCTCGTCAAGCATTGTCAGCGCGAATTAGACAATGCGGACTTCCATTATTCAAATACTCATCGAGGGTCCGAACTGTGGTCCGTCCGGGTGATGACTTTTTTTTTTTGCTCTGCCTCATATTAACACTTTCTAAATCTCTTGACGCACGATTTATATTCCTCAAATTCCTTGGAAATTTTTTTATCTCATTCATCTAGTGATGTTTTGATAATATCTTGAATCTTATTCATAACGATCGAAGAAATAGAGAGAGTTTGATGTTTGATACTTAAATTGTGTACCTACCTACCTGTACACCTCCCAAGCTTACATCTCGACTACAATATCATATTCGAACAACATATATACAACAAACCCACCCGATTCCTCCATCGCATCTTCAACTTTTATCATTCGAGCAGGTGTTACACATACATTTTATCTTTCTTTGAAAGACCAACAATAACACAATGTTTACGACGAGTATATTAACGCTTTTGGCGATAGCGACGAGTGTTTTAGTGCAGGCACACACAGTGATTACATATCCGGGATGGAGAGGTGATAATTTGATTACGAATGAGACGTTTCCTTATGGAATGCAGTGGATGTATCCTTGTGAGTAGACTTTTGTTTCACGTTTTGGAATTTTGGAGTTGGAGTTTAAGTTTGGGTTGTGAGGAGATGTCTTGGGAAATTTAGAGTCGAAATGGATGCTTTGCTTTGCTAGCTTTCACATCTCCATATTCATATCCATCTTATCTCCAATCCCATCCGACTTCTCTCTCCCAATCTTCACTCCCTCCCTCCATCCCCATCTCCCCTATCAAACCCACCCCTTAACACTCCCCAGGCGGCGGCATGCCCACTACCACCAACCGCACTCTGTGGCCCATTCACGGCGGCGCCATCGCCGTCCAACCCGGCTGGTTTCAAGGCCACGCCACCGCCTTCTTCTACTTTAATCTCGGATTCGGCACCGATGGTCCTGACAACGGTCCCCAAAACATGTCTTTCCCCATGACCTCCGTCATGCAAATCGTCGGCCCGAGTAAAAATCCCTATCCCGGAACCTTCTGTTTGCCACAAGTGCCGTTGCCCGCGAATACGACGGTCAATGTAGGAGATAATGCGACGATTCAGGTTGTGGAGACAGCGGTTCATGGGGCCGCTTTGTATTCTGTATGTTTGATCTCTCTTTCTTTCCACCTCATGTTTCGTTACATCATCTTCCCTCGTAATCACACTTCCTCATTGAATTTCTCCCTTTCCATCACCACCATCCCCCCCCCCATCTCCACAAAGTCAAAAAAAAAAAAAAAAAAAAAAAAAACTGACACCCTTACCCCAGTGCGTAGACATAACCTTTGCGCTCCCCGAAGACGTCGCCGAAGTGAACAGCTCCAACTGTTTCAACAGCTCCGACATCTCCTTCGCAAATGTCTACACCATTAACGATGCCTCAGCCCCTGGAACCTCCTCCTCTGCTTCTGCCTCCGCATCTCCTTCCCGCTCGCTCTGGGCTGCCAGTCTCGCGAGCGTGCTGGGCGTAGCGATGTGGAGTTTCTTGTGAGAGATGGGAAGGAGATTTGTAATTTCTGGGAAGTTACAGACGGAAGAGAAGGGGAAAGATAATCAGGAGGAAATCCAAGAAAAAGGAAGAAGGAATGTAGATATGCTATGATACCAGGAACTTATCGCGCAGATGGACACATCAAGTGAGTGTCCCTACCGAATAAGTCGAGAAACGGAAAGGGGAATGGAAATGGGAACAGGTATTGAAATCTCAACTATGGGAACCGGGAAATGAAGCAGAGCATTCAAGTACCCAATACGGAGCTACATGTATTAGCACTCAGGCGTTTTATGGCGAAGATCATGACCTGGAGGAAGTAACAATTTTTAATTTCATTCTGATCTCTTCTCGAGTTTCGATTTTCATCTCAATATATTAAATACTTTCAAAATCAAATTCAGTACAATACAACAAATCAGTGTCCTAACCCAACATCTTAGCTTCGTATAATAACTCGGGAAAAATCACATATTCACATCTGGATTTGGATTCTGATTCTTACTCTGAATCCCGTTCCGTTTTATTGTGCTTGTACAATAAGTATTAAGATTTTACTTTCGAGCTTTCTTTCTCCTCCCTCCCCCCAATTGCTATTTACAGAAGCATAATCATTATATAGCTAGGCTAGTAAGAAGCTATGATAGCTATCATATAACTTACATTCAATAGCAATAACCCCGAACATCACTATTCCATATTGCTACCTCAACTAGCATGTGACTAAGCGAACTAGTACTGTTTCGTTACACTATCGCTAAATTTACAGGCTAGCAAATATTTTATTAAGTACATAACTCTAAAACGATTGACAAAATAAGAGAAAAAGAAATCTTATTATTGATCAGAGCTCAAGGAATCGATTGATATAAGTTTTCGAGTTTACTAACAGAAACCGAAATTAAAAATCGATTATAATAGTATTTCAATTACAGAGGGACAAGCGCCAAACTGAGATCATCGTGACCGATGAGTAAAAATTCTAATAAAATCAATATTCATTTCAATTCTCATTGAAACTGGCTGAAAATAAAATCAATCGATTCTTTGAGTTCTGATGAATACCCTTGTATATTTTTATTTTATTTTGTGAATTTATTCAAAGTCGTGTGTTAGATTCTAAATTCGTCTAGCGTTACAAATACTAGTTGAGGTCGTTTTTCACATAATTCTGACATTTCAGGTATTAATACATGGAATCGTGACATTCGGGGTTATGACCGTATATTCGAATAGGAATATGGCACAATCCTCTCCAAGAGTAGGCATACGAATAGGCACTTTGAGATATTCAATCACACAAGCTATGGACTACCTCCCACAAGACCTCACAAAAGCACACCAGATGTCAAAAGTTCTCAAATATCACTATCTACTAATAAAAATAGACACACGTCTAAAATCCTAGAACTGATATTTTAAGCGTTCAAGTCTCATTATATATATACATCGGACATTATATTTACAAACCTCCTCATTCCCTCTCTCCCTCTTTAACCCTAAAAAAATTATATACTAGAAATTGCACAATCCATACCTCCTCGATGATTCTCTACATGTAACTCGCATCGTAGTAGAACTCGCTCGTGAAGGATGGACCCAAGACGGTGGTGATATCGATGGGAGCTGTTAACTGGGAGCTGAAGTTTGCGCGGGGACCTTCTTCGAGAACGCTTCCGGGGCCGTAGTTGTTGTATCTGGTGGGTGTGTTAGTTGGGGTTCATGGGTCGAGATTGGTGATGGATTGGGATAGAATAGGTAGGATCACTCACTCTCCGAGAGTAACCCCATCAGTATTTGGAGACGAGGTACTCCACTGTTGCCATCCAGCCGCCTTAATATTATCACCCAAAAAACTATTCTGGAAAACCACACGCGCGTAATCTCTCCATGGACGTCCGAGATAGTTGTTGTAAGGAGTGAGACTGTGGTTGAGATTGGCAATGTTGGAGTTGTTGATCACATACCAGGAATCGACAGCGGCGCTGGTGCGACCCGATGCGGTAATGGCTCCGTTGGCGATCGTGCGGATATCGTTGTTTTCAAACCAGGCGAGAGCTTTCTCGCCAAAGATGAAATCGATGGCTCCGACGATCAAGCACTTGGCGTAGAGCTGGTAGCCCGCCTCGGCGAGAACGGTGTCTTGGTACCCCCAGAATTGGGTGGCGTAGTAACCGACGTTGGAGGCGTAGGAGGAGAGAGCAAGATTTTGTCCATTGGAGTTGATGTGGCCGAATGTGTTTTTGATGATCAAGTTGTACACTTTGGTGTTGGTGTTGTGGGCGCGGAAAGTGGCGGTTTTATCATCGGAGGTGGTGTTGATGAGGGCGAGGTTGTAGGTGAGCGTTGCTTGATTGTAATAGTATTCGCGGGCATCGGAGGTATAACCTTGGATGGTAAGGTTGGATGCGATTGGCGGGAGATACACTTGCTCGAAGTAGGTACCAGTAGCTACGAAGATGTATTGCGCATCAGTTGTGTTGGCGGATAATGCATTAACACCCGCTTGGAATGTGGTATAGGAGCCGGCAATTTCACCAGTTCCGTCAACGACAATTGCACCAGCTGGAGCAACGGTTCGGTTGAATGCAACAGCGCGGTTCACTAAAGCAGGGCTGGCACTGACGCTTCCGAGCAAAGAAGCTGCAAAAGAGAGGAGGGCAAAGGAACGCATGGCTGGAAAGTTCTTGGAGGGAGGCCTGACTTCAATAAGCGTTGATTCAAGGTTAGAGAATTGCGACTGAAGAGATCAGCCTTCTCAGGGTGGCAATGTATTCATATTTCTACAAAAAGAACAAAATCGCCATCTGTGCCCAGACGCATTGAATGATATTTGCCCCAGAAAATCACCCTTGCATCTCGCAAGATTATTGGTGCATGAAAGCTGGATAACCCCCTCTTTCAACGGAAAATTCTCCACTATGTTTATTAGTAGCGCAGCGGACGCTATTGATAACCTGCGGAATAGATTGATTAAAATGAGCACCCAAGCAGTGCCCAGCCCGAACCGACCGCACCTCCGAGATTAGAGTGAAATTGAAAGCCCATACTTCTCTCCAGGCACTCGCATCGGAAGTGTTCCTATGTACTACATGTCGAACTAACTGCCATGGCGGGAAGAGAAAGGTGCAATAACTGATGGATAGTAAAATTCCAAGATTTTTCCGTTCCACCGCTCAGGAGTGTGAATATTTGAATAGGTTACCAGCATGTCGGCACCTGCCTAAGTGCTTACATTGTCCTACTAAGGATCATATGCTCGTCGTCGCTATTGTTATGAGCGCCGCGCAAGCTTTTGCCGCAAAAAGCAAACAATTAGAAACTCCAGGAAAGTAAGGATATGCTAAATATCTGAAAAGCCGGTAGATATTTGAATGCTCAATCAGCCCACTATTTTAGGGTAAAAGGCTTGTGTATTTCCCTACAAATACCTTCAATTCCCGAGACATTTCAAATTACGTGCTCGTCGTCGACACAGAAATGCGAGCCAGCTCACAATTGCAAACCGCACTTGATGTTCTGAACTAAACAGAAGGTCCAACACCAACGGAGCTTTCGGATTGCACGGGCATTTCCATAGTATCCGACACCCAATTGAGTTGACCGCAAATCCCTGTATAAGCTATTTCATGTATGCTTCTTATTCTGTCAAAAAAAATAAAAAATAGATTGGAAAGCTTCGATGAAAAGTAGGTTCATGATCAAAATGATCTTATTGTCATATAGGTTGTGGTACAGGGTGGGGTTGCTGACTCATGCGGAGATTTTGTTTGCATCTACAGCAATTACCTACCAGTAGATGATGCGACGACCAGGTGGTACGGAGACGAGATATTTAGAAACCCATCTATCAAGATGTCTTTTTCAGATAGCATATTGAGCACTGTTCGTCTAAACTTCTCGAAGACTCTTGCTTTCCGGAAATCGTCCACAGCAATATACGCGACAACAACGTTTGATGAAGTCGTTGTTTCTTTGCGTTACATACCGTTTTATATCTGCCAAGCTCCACTTGCTGTTCTCACTTCCTTATTCTGCAGTCGCTAAGCTAACAATGGTGGAGCAATCAAGCTCTCTTACCTCCTGCCAATATTTGAAGCTTCTCCAATTCATACATGCCACGATGCACGTGGCCGCCTGGGCTGGCCACTTCCTGCACGTCTCGATAATCATTTTATGGTCAAAATTTCTATTCTGCTTAGTGGTCTGAATTGAGAAACTAAAGTTGAGCCTCATGAAAGCGATGAGTTGATAGCGCTCTTCGCTGCCCAGATTGAGGAGACTCAGCCCGTTTCTTGGCCGTGATAGATTTTCTGACAAATGAAAGATTATATCGGGATAAATTTGCTACATGGTATATCATCTTGAGGTTTAGGGGGCTGTGTAATGTTTTCGGGTACGTTTTGATCTTTTGATGACTTGTAACGTTGCCAAGTGAAGTGGCCTAGAGCAATAACATCAAGTGACAAGTAGTGGTATTGATATTCTTTGGAAACAAGTGTGAAAAAGCTAAAAAGATACTGGCGGAGCTTCGCTGGATAACCTAGATAATGGTAAAAAGTGCTTTGAAATGTAAGAGGAGATTGGGCGCTCGTGTACTGCAGCAAGTTTGCCGTCGAGGTATGCAGTTCTGCTAAATCAAACTTCAGCCTTCCAGCAATCCTGGTGAACCATTTTCTGCAAAGCTCGGAAAGCCATGTCAACAGCGACGGATAGGAATCATATTGAGCGGCGTGGCACAAAGGCCATAAATATTGTGGTGGGCCCAGTTCACTTTGTTCAAGATAAGACGAGATTAGTTTGTTTAGAAAGAGCTTGAATCTTTACCATGTTTTCACACTTCATGCACTGTTTTCTTTCTCTGAGCTTTTTATCGCTGTTTTGGGTAATTAAACGCCAGCATTCGATAATTTGATCTCCTCGAAATTTCATTCTTCTACAAAGAATGGTACCGCATTGGCACCTCCTAATGTGCGTTCTTGCTGAAATCGTTGCTAAGTCCAAGATTGCTTACCTGTGAAGACCCTGGATATGGTCTATATCCTAGTCAGCTACCTCCAAATTTGTCTTCAGAAAAATCCTAACAAATGCCAAGGCAACTTAGGTTATTGTCCAAGAGACGAAAACTGCTGTGGAAGTAGCTTTTGCGTCAAACCTGGAGAGAGTTGTTGTCAAGGTTTCACATGCGAAGTTGGATGGAATTGCTGCAATTATCCTTATTGCTACCCGGATGCAGGTAAATGCTGTTCAGATGGAAGCTATTGCACTGCTGGAAACATCTGTGTGAATGTACAGGGGAGCATCAAGTGTTGCACAGATTTAATATGTTCTGCACATGCTTCTGGTAGTGTAACAATCAGTACACCAAGTGCCACTACCGCTCCTACTGTCATTCCATCGTCAATTACACAAGTTCCAGGACCATCTATTACTTGATACCAATACCGGTCTATGAATATCATTATTACACGATTACATGGTTCGTTCACATCAGCAGCCATATTGACATACATACCCACTAACAAACACTTAGGTCTTACTGGAGCTACTACTATTACTACTACACCATCCATCTAGACCTAAGCGCCTCTACCCACTCAACCAAAATAACAACCACAACTACAATCTCCATCAACGAAACCAATTCCGCAGCCGCTTCATCCAGCTTCAAACAATTCTCTGCCACTCTCTCCTTCCCAACTCCTACTACTGCAACACTTCCTATACAAACACCACCAAGCTCCCCTACACAAACTCAGCAAACCACTAATCCTCACACTGAAGTCAGCATAGATAAAGAATTTTTACGAGGAACTGGGTCGGCTCTCTCCAGCGTCTTCGGCACACCTTCTACAACAACCAGTTCTGTGACTTCGGGATCGAGTAGTTCGTCAACGGCTACCACACCGCCGGTGGAGGTTAAAGTCAGTGGTGCTTCTGGAATTAATTTGGATGGGCACTTTTGGTCTATTACGGGTTCCACGGTTTTTGGTGCTTGTATTGTTGCGTTGTGATTGCTTTGAGCTGGAGAGATTTAATTTTCATTGGGTTTGTGATCTTGTACACGATATCAGAGGGGTATTCACTATTTAATTAGATGTGATACAGTTTTAACCCTAAGTATAAGTTGTTCGTCCTGGGCATCAACCTATTCGTCTACAATCTTTCGCAAAGTTTTTCGTGGTATGCATGTCCTCTCTATCTACTTCGCAATACTAAACCAATACTTCAGATACGTCAGTTTGGAAAGATTCCCCACTATCAAAGAAGAAGGTGATTTTCTATTCTAACCTTCCAATTTCCATCTGCTTCTCTGTAAATCTACAGCACATCCAACATCCCAAATCATTGCAGAATGCTCCTCTGTTGATTCGAGATACAAAGCGAGTATACTTAAGGGGTCGAAACTAGAAAGCAACATCTTGTTTCATCGATTTAATGCACTATGTATCTATTCTAATCTAGAAGTCGAGGTCTCTTTAGATCTGAGATATCAGGAAGACACTCGACTTCCAGACCTTATCTATTCATACAACACATATACATCAAGCAAGCGGCCATATCTGAGAATCGATGGCGAGTATTGAGGTGAAATGCTACAAGGAAATGTGATTATAGGAACTTACCAAAAACTTAGATTCAAATCGAGCCTATCTATGCCGAAACGAATAGTAGCAGAGATGTGAATGCAAAAAATTTCATCTCTCCTGGAGCTCGCAGCCGCAAAAACCTCGTCCTCAAATCATGAATTGAATCATCGAACTCAGATCTTATCTTCCAAAACTCAGATGGACTAGCTGCCCCGTTTTCTTTGGAGCGATCAACATAGTGAATTCTCGCTCTTTCCTGAACCGGTGCGTGATAATAAGATGACAGGTTTCCTACACTGGTTCTATTCTTCTATTCTCAACTAAACCACTGTACAACAACTTCGCGATCCGGTTGTCGTGAATAAACCGTATACATTAGTACGGCAGAAACATCTCGCGCTCAATACAGTCGTAACTCGAAACCAAATCAAGCAATACTTAAGAACCTTTCTCTTCGTCCAAAAATTGAAATGCAGACAACATCTCTCGTAAATTACAACCTAGCTTAATAGTGTACTTACCTCACTGATTTCCATATATTCCGCAACTTTGAAGTTCTTTTATTAACGATTTTAAATCTCACTTCGAACCTTTGTGTATTGTCGAATCTTCGAACAAATGCCTTCCAACCCAGAAGGACCCCCCAGCGATGTTCCAGAGAGTAGTCGCCCGTCGATAACATCTACATCAACTCTCGGAAGAGCTACTCCAATAATTCACGATCAACCAAGCACCGAGCGCAGTTCCAGAACATTATCGTCCTCAACTCGCACTACGAATGACTACTTGCCGTCTTTAATCGTTCCTAGAGCGCGCAACCGACCGTCCACAAATCAAACAACGAGTACCTCGACACTCAACGGATCTGAATCAGAACGCCTCGCCTATACAAATTTTAGGGCTAGAAATGTTGATCGAACTCGGCGTCCCAGTGATCGAGTTGAACCTTACACCTTAACTTATCAAGGTGACAGAAGTTATAGGTCACGTGCGCGTCTCTCGGACGATCCCGACGAGACAGCCTCTGATGCGCGCACTAGAGTTGGCGGTAATTACGCTTCCCATGTACGACCCATGAGGGATCTTAATCGAGACTATACTCCGACACTATATGATCCTTTGCCGGCTGTAGCAGATATAGGCAATCTCTTTGCCGCGAATCGCACTGCACGCTATGTTTCGAGAAGAACTAGGCCTTTCCCGCTTAGAACATCTATAGATCCGCCGGATGACGGTCGAGTCTACACTCGGAGAATACAAAATCGCCCGCGTTTCATAACCACAAGCTCTGTCAACATCACGAATCCTATTTCAGTCTCTCCTCGGATCAGTGAGCAAGCACACGCAACCCCTGAAGTCAGCTCAACACAAGTTCCCGAGGCCAGCAGTGAGCAAGCGCAAACAACTCCTGACATCAACTCACCACAAGTTCCCGAGGAACCAACCGCCGTTGGCATAAATGATTGTCCAATCTGTCTCTGTCCTCTTCCCGCTCCTCCCAATGCCGTCCTCGTGCACCCATGCAATCACGAATTCTGTCTTGTCTGTATCCAGACCTGGATTCAAACCCAACGACAAAGACCCAACGTCCGACCTGTAAACTGTCCCTTCTGTCGGGGTCCCATCAACAGAATCGTCGACCGAGATGGAAATATTGTAGAATATCAAAGAAACATTGTCCCAGATGCCATTACCGACGCTCGGGAAAGATTGAGAAGATTGCTTGGAGGTGCGGTTGCGAATGTCGCTGATCCAACGCCAAGAGCATCGAGCACAATCGGTGGTGGGTTTGATGAGCTTAGAAGAACATTGAATAGGGTGGGACCTGCGGGAAATATTCGTGAGCAGATTGCAAGAGTACGAGCAAGATTGGGTGATGCGGATGCAGATTCGAGTCGTCCGGCAAACCCACTTGATTTACCTAACGGAGCTTTGGGCTGGTGGACTTGAGACGTAGCTTGCATTGGTCAAGGAGCATGGAGAGATGGGGGATTCTGAAGGTCGGATAAAGGTGCTCATGAGAGCTGGGGATGCATTGTTATCTGGATGTAGGGGAATTAGCATTCGAGTGTCAATTGACAATGAGAGTAGCATATTGACATAATAGATAGCTCAGATTCATCTGGGGTTAATTAGACGAGTACATATAAATACCTTGGCTTTCTAATAATGCAAACCGATTGCAATCGTGAAAGATGTGAAATCCCTTTCACTTTCAAGAACGTGAAAATTTTACCTTTGAATTCCGCGGTTTTAAACCTAGGCATTGTCTTCTCTTACTCGTAAATTGTGGGTTTCGAAAAACATAACAAGAAATGACAATTCCTCAACAAAAATCGAGATCTCCCAAGGGAATCTCGACTTGCCGATCAACCTTTGCGGTTTTCTTTTGCATTTCGTGGCTCTTGTCAAGGACCTTGCCTCCGTCACAATTGCCTGTTTCCTCGTTGTTTCCTTGCCTACACTTCAATTTCTAGCTTACGTCGATGAGCGAGTTCTTGCTCACTTACTGCGACTTCAACGAGAACGGAATCTAGAATATCTGGAGCGCCGAAATAAATGGGAACGACAAGAACAGAACTAAAGATCATCATTCACTTTTCTGCCATTTCTTTAGGTCAAGGTAAATAAAAATCCCACCTCATCTTTCATATCACAAACTAATTACTCAGATCTATTCATCCATCTTACTTACGAGGCTTCTTTCTCGCGTTGAACTTCCAAGAGTGTGGCACCTATCAACGAGTCCATCAGCAACTGTTCAACATTCTCAACTAACACCAAAACCCAAGATGTCTGAAAATAAAGATTCTAGCCACGACGAGAAACCGATATCCCGAGGTCGAAACCTCCACGTGCATGGATGACCGCATCAGAATTCCTGGACATGAACGATGACAAGCTCCTGGAGCATTATCTTCGCGCCAATAATTCCACAGCTTTGCAGAAGATAAGACCACGCTTATCAGGTGAAGGAAAGGTGACTACTCCAATGATGGTTGCCTACCTTAGTTCCTCCATGACTTCTTGCAAGCTCCGAAGGTGAATCCTTTATTATGCGGAGGTTGTAGCAATTACCTTCCACTACTTTACTTCAGGTTCCGCGGTGGAGGTAATACTTGGTGTGCGAAGTGCCTGCGGGCATTCATAAACCGGAAACATGTGACCACAACAGACCAATCTCTGTGTGATTTAGGGCATGCTCCTGGAATCCTCATGACATCTGATCTCAAAGACAGGTATCGAGCTCAGCTGTCTTTGAATTATGATAGTTACAGCTTTTATGAGCATATGAATATGTTTTCGAGTGCGGAGGGAACAAGCAGAAGCATTAGTGGATTGGGCAACCAAAGAACCGTTGAGACTTCCGCAGAACGGTGTAACATCTCAGAAAAAAAAAGAACATGATGCGGTCTAATCCCAGCCTCCGTTCAAATATCATAAAGCAAAGGTTGATTAAGAGGGGAGTGTGGGGCCATGGAACTGCTTTAATGATTCCTAGTCCCTTGGAAAAGTTACCGGCACAGCCATCATATAGGTACCGAATGAGAGTTCTCGTTTACCCATTTCCCAATTCTGCATTCATGCGTGAACGTTGATACCTTGTGAATACCCAATACACTCCTCGTGATGATTCAAAAGGAAAGAATCTAGAAGCCATAAACACGAGGAGCATAAGCCGAATGAGAACTCAAAGTAAAATCTCTAGCATGCCAGTCAAATGAAGAGAACTCTAATTCCACTACTTCCTCACATACTATGTGATCTGGTCCTAGATAGACCCCGCAACGCCAAGGAGAAGCTCTCATTGCGTATGAAATACCAAGAAGGTTTAATGCTACTTGATCACAACTTTCAAGGCCAAAATTTCTAACAAACAATATGAAGGAGGATTCCAAACCAACTGCGGTACCAGTTCACCCCCTCTCCCCTTCCGATCAAAGTATCATATGTTTCTTTGAGAGGAACACGCATTGCAGTGCCATAGAGATCAGGTTTCTTTGGAAGGCTTCAACGGAGATAGCACATGGTGCATAATATCTGGAGGGTACATAGCTTTATGTATCTAGTGCTTCAGCATCTTGTCTTCAAGTAACAGACCTTTATAGATCTTAAAATGAAGAAATATCAAGATGTTTGTAATCACAGGAGACCATCTGTAAAGTCACAATTTGCGTACAGGGTGCGGCTACAATAAGAATATGTTCGAGTTTATCATCTCACCGCTATAACTTAGATTTTTGACCGAATAAAATCATCCGATAATATGATTTACATAGGTGAATTCTATACCCGGCCCTTATACCTGTGGTAACCGCCTGGCGTTTTTCTTCCTCTTCCCATTTATCTACCGAGTTTGAAAAGTAGCAGAGCAGACCTGCTTCAACTACACATTTTGTTCTTGTTCTGTTGGATTCGCCCAGCAAGATATTGTGTACGGATGGACGATCATATAAGCACATCTTGTCAAACTCGAATACCAAGAAAGCAAATGAAAATCTCCAGGTGATTAGCACGAACTGTACCTCTACTCTTTGAAAGCCCAAGCAACGATACTTTCTACGTTAAGTTTACAGTTGAATTCCTTCAAGATACCCCTGGCTAGGATCTATCCCAAAACGCCGTCCTGCATTTCGACTTCACCTCCTTCCCTACCAATGCGATACCTCAAGGAAAAATGTCTCAGCCCACTACATACATCCAGAATGTTGAAGTAGACGATCAGTCCATTAACAATGTAACTATTGGGGAGAATGCTCATCAGAAACACCCTAAAAAAAACCTTGAGCTTTTCTCAAAGCCCGAGAACGTCCAGCCAACCATCAGCGATGCAAGTACTATCCCAAGACCCGCCATTCCGCCAATCACCCACTTCACAGAACCCACAGCCACATACTGGCAAGACCTCCTCCCCTCAAACCACACCCCCCAAAACCCGCCCTATCAATACGGTTTCCCCGCCAAACTCCCCGATTCACGTTTCCTAGTCCTCCCTATTAGACCCCTGAAAGACAATCCTAAGCATGCGGTTGCCTCACTCCTAGTCAACCAAGCTTCTATGGAAGTCGTAGATATACTATCCGCTTTCCTTGCCGATCTGGTGTGTCGTTTTGAGCCGGATGTGATTATTGGACTTCCGACTTTGGGTCTTAGTCTTGCTCCGCTTGTTGCTAGGAATTTGGGGTTAAGTATGTTTGTCACTTGTCGAGATTACTACTTGGAAAATTTACCAAGGAGAGAATGAATAGAATTAACGATTGTTGTGTTAGAACGATATATACCCCTAGGGTACTCCCGCAAATTTTGGTACGACGATGCGCTTTCCGCTTCAGTATCATCTATCACGTCCCCAGAACTGGGGTTGAAGAAAGTATATCTGGATCCGCATCAGTTACCCTTGGTTCTGGGAAAACGATGTGTGATTATTGATGATGCAGTAAGTTCTGGTGCAACACTGAAGACGACTTGGGATTTGTTGGAGAAGATTGGTTGTGATATTGTAGCTTGTGGGGTGGTGATGAAACAAGGGAATAGATGGGAGCAGAAAATTGGGCAAGAGAGAGTTGATAAATTGGTTTACGTGTTGGAGAGTCCGCTTTTGGAGGCTGTTGATGATGGATGGGTATTGAGGTCTTGAGACTTGTTCTTAGGAAGAGGGTATTGCAAAGCCTAGTGTGGTTGATCTGATCTTTGAGTTTGGTCAATCAACCTGTCGTTTTCATCTGCATAAGTAGTAGTGAGAATTAAAGCCGCGATCTTGTGCTTAGACAATCGGAGAGAATGATTGCAACTCATTCTTGACAACTTGGTCTAATTGATTGCACCACTTTTTACGCTTTGTTCAAATATTCTAATGATTCAATGATCATCGTTCCATTTTCTCTCAAGTGCTGCTAGTTATTTATTTTCATTATCATTCTAATTATTAATTTCTTTTCTTATAGAAAAAGTTTGCAAATCATGTACAGAATATGTACTGTACCCATATGTCATGACGAACGTGATGGTGTTGGGCCTTTCATTTGCAGATATGTTCCATCCATGTCGAACCCATAACATCGCCCAAAATACATTCCCACCTGGGTGTATATATCCGATCCTTACCCTCCAATGCGAGCCATACCCAAGAAAGAAAGCAAACATATAATGCATTTCATATCTCATCTCATCTCGTTTCGTATCTCGAAAAAGTTTTTTGACTTTCCTGCTCATGATATCGGATCATTCCAGATCCACAATCTAACAGGTGGTGATGAAAAGACCTATTGGGGATGGGTTGTAATCCTCAAACCACCACAAATCAGTGTCGCTTCCGCCAGCAGTCATTTCATAACTGATAGCCTGTCCAGCTGGACAAGTGAAAGTGTTTACAACAGTCCAGGAACCAGGTGTGATGGTCTTGCTACCGAAATCAGTTGCAGTGCTTCCGATAGAGTTATAGGTAGAGCTGGTGGTAACAGTGTTGCTCAATTGTTTGAAATCGACGGCTCCGGTACCGGAGAAGGTATAGGAGGAAGTCTCGAGCATGTCTTGAGTGGGGAAGAGGAAAACAAGGGAGCAAGTCTTGGAAGCGTATGAAGCTGGGATGTCAAAGTTGAAGAGAGAAGAAACAGTGCTGTTGACGACTCCATCGTAAGAAGTACCGTACGCATTATCTGGGGATGCAGATGAGACGGGAACAATTAGGTTGGGGGAAGAGTAGGTGCCATCAAGTTTAGTAGGGCAAGAATTGGAAGCTGAAGCTGTGGACGAGGCCTTTGATGTGGCCGAAGAGACAACTGAGCTTGCTTGGGAGACATTAGAGGAGATAATTGAGCTAGCAGAAGAAGCCTTTGGTGTGGAAACAGCGCTTGTAGTGGCTTGAACTTGGGAAGAAGTGGCGGGGGCGCTGGAAACTTTGATAGACTCGGTAGCGGTGACTTGTTTTGTGGAAACAGCGGTAATATTCTGCACTTGAGTAACGGCAACTGTAGAAGGAGCGGCAGATTGAACTTGGGTGACAGTGACTATAGAAGGAGCAGCACATGTTTGTAATTGAGTCTGGGTAACCACAACAGTTTGAGCTGGTGCAGTCTGCTGTTGAGTTTGAGTCTCCTGGATAGTTTGACCAGGCGCAGTCGAAGTGACATAAATGGTCTGGGCAGATGGAGTTTGAGTGACAATAACAGTTTCAGATACAGTTACGGTTGAAGCAGCACATGTCTGTTGCTGAGTTGTGGTAGCAGTGACGACTGAAGCCTTTGAAGATTCTGAAACTGGAGCAGACAATGAAGATTTTGGTGATGAAACTAAGGTGGAGGATGAGACTTGTTGGGATGCGGATGTGCTCAATTTTGCTGATGAAGAAGATGAAGATGGAGTGAAACATCCACTAGCAGTCAATCCAATCTTTACACACTTATCCTGACCAGCCACGGGAGCAGTGTAGATGTTGTAATCGTTGTCAGAAGATGGGCATGCATAGAAGACCGATGATCCAGACTGAGAGTATGTGCCATCTGTACTGATAGCAAAACCACCTGTAGCGCTCATACCAGTATCGCATTGGTATTGATTAGCCTCTGATGTTAAATAACATGGTCGGCCTTTGGAATCGGTGGTTTCACCGTTGTTGATTATGAAAGTTGCAGTAGGGTGGTTGCCAAGGATACGGAGTTGACCATCGTCCAATTGACCAACGATACCGGATTGACCTCCCGATGAAGTGAGGGTGTATGGGCAAGTGTCTCGTTTGATGGAAGCAGCTGAAGCGCCAACGGCGAGAGCGATTGATGCTGATGCTGAATACTTCATGATTAACGAGTGGAAGTTGTTGTATTATTAAGTTGATATCGTAGTAATAAACTGGAAGTTGTTGACCTGGAGAAATATGAGAGGACACAACTGCTGTCTATATACTTTCTCATCGGTATTTTTCCAACCTACTAATTTTCGAGAAACAACGATGACGCAGACTTGTTTGGTAGAGACTTTGGTGTACATACGAGGTCTAAAATAAACAGCTCACCGAAAGAACCGAATCAATGCGAATTGAACATCGATTCCTCGTGGGAACCAGTATTCCCATGAGCTAAAGTGTTGATCAATATGCAGCTCATCGAGTGACATTCGTCCAAGAAAGACGATTTTCACAGAAATGAAATACACTTTACTCAGTTTGACATGATCTACGAGTCTATCATCGTAACCTCACCACCAAGATGCACCCCTCAGGTGGGACCCATAGTATGGGACGAACGATTTTTGATTGAACAATGTCTCCATAGATGCTCCATGAATAATCCATAAATGACTAGAAGCGAACGGACAAATTGCGGACAGCGGCATGAGATGTTCAGGAACGTAATCAAAAGATCGGCTAAGCATGCACTAGCTAGGTTTTCACCTCAAGTGGACCATGACGAAATCTTTCTTCCGGTTATCCCGTTGTGCAAAGGGGTGAGCTTCACAAACCGAAATTCGAAGAAGATGGAATTGTTATCCACATCGAAACATGTGGTAACTTTTTGAAGGCGGGGTGTTCCTCTTATTCGGGATACAGCCTTGTGCAGAGTGTCTCCGTCCCAACTCCCCATAGATTTGGGGTTTCGACATACATGAAACGAATATGCCAGCAGTGAAGAAAATATGGATAAGATGTCAAAGTTTGTAATATGGAGAGAGTGATTGTTGAAGAGGATCATGTCGTCATAAAAAGTTAGCGCTGGCTAACTGACAGGACCGAGGAATTTCTGTGTATCCAATGTTTGAAGGTAAATCTGGATCCTCGTTTCCGCGAGGGATAACGTCGGGTCGTAAAGTTGCTATTTTTGCAAATTACCATTTGTAATAATTGGGACTCCAGCACTATTTAGCACTCTAGTTTAGCCTCTGTGCTAAGCTAGTGAGCGGGAGGTGGACAGTCCCACGATTTCACGTGATGATACGTACTTCTTCGACTGGAAACACGAAAAAGTTCCATACGAATGAACACGGCTTGTGTGCCTCGCGGACAATGGTTCCGATATCAAAGATGATTCGTGCGATTGGAAGTGTGGAGATATGACGCCGGTAAGTCTGGGCTCTTGAAAAGTCCGCTTTGAATAAACGTAATAGTCTGGCTTAAGTCTTGATGTCTTTTGAAGAACTCACTGCTGGCTGCATACATACTTTTTACACAGCCTTACTCTTTGGTGGTGCTGGAATATAGAAAGGGTCGTCGTCACAATTTTGAAATGGTGCCTGCAAAACGATCCAAACGACATTGTATGAGGCAACCAACTAGTAGGAATTGAACATGGTAGATTCTTCACTAGAAGACCTGTGGGGATTAGTAATCTTAATTATTTGAGCTGAGGTGTTTGTAAGGTCAAGAAGGCTTTCGTACGCACTCCGTTGACGTTTGCAATGCGTCTGGGGAATTGAAGAATTGGCCTCAGTCGTAATTAAGCACGCATCTTCGGACGCCATATTTTTTTTAAGTTCTTCCAGGCGGAAGATAAATCGATGAGCGCCCATAGATGATAAGAGAACTGGAAGCAATAATATGTCTTCGCTCAGGGTATTGGGATTATTTCATGACAATGGGATGGATTGAAAAGTCTTGATGCTCTGGTGTCCCGAGAAAATATGGCTTACATAATATCTGAGTTAGTCCACCTTCGGATAAGTACCAGCTGATATCCGGAAATTCGGCACAAAGTCCGGGTGTGGTGAGGATTCCGAGCAAAGTAGCCGAGCCGGCCATGGCACTGCTTTGACATCACAAGAATCCATCTGGCGGTTAAGCATCTAGATGTACGGATAGGGAATTTCGTCTAGAAATTTTCATTGCAGCGAACTAAATTCCCATTCAAAGTTCCATGAATACTAAATTTCTTGTGATCTCATCAGTTCCAACAAACATCATCACCAAGGTCGGGCATCAGATACGTGAAAAGTGTGAGCAAGTTGGCAGAAGTTGGAGTTAAAAAACGGACTGGAAAAAATAATCGATTTTCTAGATTTGCATATTTCACCACGTCTTTCCCAGCACCATGGGTTTTACGAGGAAATTTCCTGCTTTCTCTGACAAGGCTCTCGCCTAATATCTACACATTTCAACAGGAGTATTCTTACTAATTACTCTGTCAGGTACATTAACATTGTGAAAGGCATAGATATCAAGGTAAGCAATCATAGCAGTGGTATCTAGCATAGAGTCAAGCTTAAGCAGATCTCATCACTTGCAAGAACCATCCGAACAGATATAAGATTGTTAGTTACCAATCCATACGCATCACCTCAATGACCGCATCCGCTTGCCAAATACAAGCCACTAACACCAACTAGATTGATTGATTAAAGGTCCCAGGAAATACAGCTATGTTTACTGTGTCCCAAATCTCCTTTTGGTCGCCAATTCTAGGCGAGGTTTGTTGTTGTTACGAATATTGAGGTTGTGTCCTCTTCCATGTGAAAACTTGATAAGTTTGATATGCACTAAATCTCTTTCAGAACAAACTTATCAGTCATACATACATAGCAATTTGGCAATGAGCCCCTGGTAGTGGTACTGAAACTTACTGATGACAGGATTGCCACGTTATTCTGTACTACTTGTGTGGTCGTAAAACAGTTTGGACTATTTGTTATTGAAGGAAGCAATCAGAAAAGGAATTTGATGATCACAATCTATGACTCAACCTTGCGAAATCATTTATAAAGCACATAATAGTTTCTAGAGATGGTAGTAACCTGTGGATTTCTTTCTCAAGCTTCACATGTTGGGGTTGAGGTTCGAAGGGCAATTTATTTGGAATTTTATTACAGTGTCCTGACTCCTGTGAATCTCTGTTACAGCATTCAAAGGTTTCTCGTCTCTTGACACACTCTCGAACCTTGCGACACTAGACTAAGAATGCTGTTATAGATTGTGCGCCAAAAGAACGCTAGTCAGAACTTAACTCAGAAATGCAACCAGTATGACGTATCTAGACAATTGAGTTGTCACTTTGCGTATTATCAGAAGATGAAGTTTCTAGGGATATCGATTTTGAATTGCGATGAGCGAAAATACTAATACTGGTATCAGTAGTGGGAGAGACGAAGCTTGCCTTGAAAGGTGAACCATCTCACGTTCTGTCTAAGAAGTAGTCAAACATGACAAGGGATATTCTATGAAGAGCAAAAGAAATCCTTTTATAGCTCCAACAGCTACCCTCAATGGATAATGTAGAAATTGCCAAGCTTATATTATACAAAGCTGTTAGCTGTTAGCTGCTAGCCACACATACAACATTGTTGCTGATGTAAAAGGCACAAAGGATAGGCCATGTTGTTTTCCAAGTTGGGGAGAACAAGAAATATAGAATCCAGTTGTTACTTTTGTCTGCTTGTAATGGAAAAGTAGAATGCCATTACCATACCACCCAAGGCTACCTGTACAGCAAGGACCTACTGTTGTGTTTGACACTTGAATACTACATCAATATTACTCATTCATTCGAGAGCTATTGACTAATACAAACAAATCAATTGAATTTCAATCTTGTGAGTCCAATTATCGAAATGAATCGGTATGATTCACTGCGTGGGACAGTATTGATACTGAAAATTGACTTGTGGCAAATATTCCTGGAAAGGAAGAGGAATCCGAGGAACTTTCTGGTAGTCCAATGAAAATGCTAGACTATGAGAGAAATAGAAGTCCGGATGCATGTAACTACCTAGGTAGGTTGATATAACTATTGAGAATAGGAAAGAAAGTAAATGGTGGAAGCTCACAATGATATTTTGGAAACAAATGCAAAATCAAAACCAATCGATAACTTTTTTTTATCTGTGAATAACTTAAATATACCCATTCAGAAATAAGAATAAAAATATCATACTTATTAACAATGAATATAAATCATATATATCACGTTATTCACTTCTGTCAAATAGAATAAGGATGAGGGGTGAAGTCCGAGCGGTAGCCTAAACTTAATCAATGTAAGTTACTAAATTACACTAAATTATCCGAACTAGAATAGTTTTAGGCAGTTTCGAGTCTCTCGACTTCCTCATAAACTTCTCAACACATCCTCACAATCACATAAATTTTTTGCAACAATCTTTTCAACAAGCTTTCTGATTAATCTTTACCATATCAGCAAGTAAATACACATAATATTCCAACACAACCAAATTCTTTATCACTCTTTCATTCCATCAAAAAATCACAATGAGTTTCGACTATCAGTCGAGTGAAGTCTTCGGACTCAGCTTCAAGCAACATGACGCAAGAAAAATGCGCCATGTCTTGAAAAACTACGGAAAACTACCAGAGAAACAAGGTGATAGACTTGCCCTGTTTCTTCGCCTACAGAATTTTGAAACAAGTCTTGATGAAGAAGTTTCCAAAAAAGTCAAGGACTGGTTTGAAAATGGTGGTGATCTTCCATCGACTCATCCCATAACTACACCTGAAGAAGGTTCCAGTGGAGAGGAGGAGGAAGAAGAAGAAGAAGAAGGAGAAGGAGATAACGAAGATGATGAAGCAGGTTCCGAGGAAGAAGAGAGTTCTGATGAAGAATCAAGCTCCGACTCTGGTGCTTCCGCCATCTCCGGTCACGAGTTACTGTGGGAGGATAGAGAAGAAGCCTTGAGACGCAACCCTGGAATGGATCTTTTCGACCTTTTCCCTCAACGTAAGTTACATACCTTCTTATGTTAGTATCTTTTGTTTGTATACCTGCTTGAAAATTGTATTGAACTCTTCATCTAGATCCTGACAATCCCGAACGCGACAACTACATCTTCGGCGCCGAACCCGATAATGGCGAATTCGGGATGGAGCCCAACAGCTCGGACGACGAAGAAGAAAGCTCGGAGAGTGAGGAGGAGAGTGAGGAGGAAGAAGAGGACGACGAAGATGAGGTCGAAGATGAGGTCGAAGATGAGGTCGAAGATGAGGTCGAAGATGAGGTCGAAGATGAAGAGGAGCCAGATAGTGGAGAAGCGCATGATTATTCCCAAAATTTACCTGATAGAGTGGAATGTATTATTTGTATTGAGGATGTCCTGAAAGCGAACGCCTGGTCTAATATCACAGGTGACTGTCAACACCCAGATACTTTCATTTGCAGGGAATGTCTCGATCTATCTATCACTACAGATATTGACTATGGGCTTTTGAATGCCATCAAGTGTCCGCTTTGTACAGCTGTCCTTACTGACAACGATGTTCATTCCAAAGCATCTACGGACGTACTTCAACGGTCGGTGACTCTTATTGGTTCTTTGTGTTCATTGCTAATTGTTAAACAGTTACTCCTACTTGAGAGAAAAAGCCTCCAGACCCGACACATTCATTATGTGCTTAGGACCTAAGTGCGGTGGAGGTCAGATACACGAAGGCCCAGAACCATTGATGATTTGCGACCATTGTAACTTCAAGACTTGTGTCAAGCACAAGTTACCATGGCACGAAGGACTGTCATGCGACGAATTCGATGTTGACGACTCGCAAATCGAACGTTTGGAGCAGGAAGAGGCCACAGCTAAGCTGTTGGCAAAGGATTCGAGGATTTGTCCACAATGCAAAGAATGTGTTGTTAGAAGCGATGGTTGTGACCATATGTCATGTATGTATAATACACCTCTTTATACAGGTTCTCTACTAACAATTGATACTCAGGTCGCTGTGGGAATTCCTGGTGTTACCTGTGCGGTGCCGACTGGGAAAACATCCTCAGACTCGGCGACAAAGCACATGGCAGAAACTGTCCCAACCACCCCGATTCGCACAAGCTCAGCCGAGGCCAAGCCCTAGCCCGTGAGACAGCCCTTACCAATCTGGTACATGGCGGACCTGTCAACGAGGCTCAAATTCAAGCCAAGTACGCCAAACAGGCTGCGAGAAGGCAAGAAATGAGACCTTTGGCATTGGCTGCTGCTGAGCAGAGGATGAAGGAACAGGCTTTGGCGAAGTCAGATTCCGAGTAAGCGTTTCTTCATATCACACTTTCCGTCTATTTCCCCTTCACTCCATCTTTTCGGTTCTCTGGCACATCTATGGTCTCATTGAACTTTGCATCTTTTTATTATTTCTAATTACTAATTTGTCTGAAGCTCCAGTAATTCCGGAAGACCCAAGAAGAAGACCAAGTTGGTGGGTGCTTGGGAGGAAAAGTGAATGTATGACAGATCGGATGATACTGAAGCAAGAATATGAGTTTTAGCGGATTTCATTAGCATGGGTGGATACTTAGGATAAACTATTTGATATACGATAGCGTTTATATAACTTTCCGCCCATAGGATAGGCGATGGGATACATATATCAGGAAGTTTTGTGATACCCATTTATGGCTACTTCACCAGGATAGCTTACATGTATGGCATTGTCCATTCATTGTAAAAATAAAATTGAGTAGATTAGGAATGCTTTTTTCCAATCATTCAGGTACCATACGTGCTTCTGGTGATTACAAGTGATTGTACATATTCATTCTTCAATTCGGCTTTGACTTTTAAAGCATAGGGTGTCTAACTTCCAGACTCCGAATCATAGAACTGCACATTTCTCTCTTGAGAGCTATGACTTCAGTCTTTCTTTTCGGTGTTGAAGTAGTACTTGTGGATGAAATGTTGTGGTAATATGAAGGTTGGGATGAGATAGAACCAGGGACGACGAGTATTTTGTTCAAGCCTAGTATCAAACCAAAAGCTGCCTCGCATATAATGAACTTTGATCTATAGCAAAGGCTCAGATAGGCATTTTAGCTTCAAGTCATTGCTTCAAATATTCTTCAGGCATTGTTAATATTGTTCGTAGGTATGCTTTGGTGTATACGATATACATGATTTCTAGACATTGTCGGGATAAGACAAGCTGGAGTGTCGGAGAAGGGGTTGATTTTTTGATCTTCACTTTTCAAATTTTACTAGGAAGTTGCGTTCTCGTTTTGATAAAGGTTTTGGGATCAGAGTTCTTGAGGCGGTTTTGTACAGATGATTTATTTGAATAGGTGTTGGTGGTTGATTTGGATGGTGATAATGATCATCATTATTGCACTTGTTGAGTATTAAATATTGACTATTAAATACTGTTATCCATAGCTATTGCCTTAAATACGCTAATGTTATACATTAATGTATATTCGATACAGGTTTTCGCTTAGTATCTGTAAAATGATATCGAAATCTCTTTCACCCCATTGTATGTCCATGAATCAACTCATCATTATATCCTGACTATGACATATCGATATCCAAATATCTACTCTTCTGATATTCCTGCGCATCTATAATCTTTGAGAGAGATCTCCGGCGCCTCCTACCCAATATCCTTAGACTCTTTCTCGAGCCAGCCAACCCACTACATTAGCAGGACACCCCTAGCAAAAGAACCGAGCTCATCAGAATCCACAAGGACATAATTCTCACCGACCCATTCTTTATTAGCAACGGAATGGCGTATTACGTACATATGATTCAAATCCCGCAGTTCACTGATACACAGAATCGAGTGTTTAGGGGGTTCTAGCAGAATGTTGCCCTTTTAAAGTATCAGCAACTCTCGGAGGTTCTCATCACTCATCGCTAAATATTTGACGCATCCAGAAGGGTATCTATTGATATTCTTGTAGTTCTCCATAAAACCTTCAGACAACCACAGGATATCTTTCTCGGGACGAAACCAAAATTGATGGATGATGAGTTGGTCTCGAGCGTGCCATCTGCATCTACGGGTTATGGTAAGGTATCGGAACTCTCCTTCTCGCATTTTCTATTTTCCGCCTGCTTGGAGAAAGGCATCAATTTGATGGCTAGGTCGTCGGGTGGTTGGCGGACGTAATCTGGCTTGCATATTGACGGGTATGATGTGTGGTTCGCGTTGATGCGCAGCTTGGTACACGACCTCACATCTGATTTCTTGAGGAAGACGACCATAGAGTGGGAATTTTGGAATGGAAGGCTCTTATGGGAGTTCGCTTCGGGAATCTGAGACGATTGTATTGGATGCTTGTGTGCTTGAAGAATTGACTGTTCTTGATTGGTGTTCAGAAGCTTTGATGGTGGGTATTGGAGGTGCTGGAGAATTGAAGCTCAAGTCCTTGAGCTCAAAGTAGGATGTTCGAGGCATGTGTGCTAGCGAGGTGGGCTTGGTTTTTGAAGTGAGAGATGTGTAAAGTATGAGAGTGACTATATTGTTCGTAATTATTGGATGGCCACTTTCAAGCCTGTAGAGTTTGGTTTGAAGTGAAGAGTATATGAATTAAAAAAATATTTGAAGTGAAATATTTTTGAAGGGAAAAACTTTTTGGGTGAGAATGACAGCTATAGACTTCTCGGCAGTATTGAAGTGACGGTTTAGTAGCAGGTCAAAAATGGCTTGTGTCTAGCTTACATGCCAGAAGCCAATTCTAACGAAAATCCCTTCAATTTTGATATTTAAGGTGTGCCAAGCGACTTACCTAGATAGTCTATATCTAGTGGAAGGAGCTAAAATGATCTGTCGTGTGCATTAGATATCACTCTGGAAAGAACTTTTGGGGACAATCATCGTTCAAGGATTCTGACTGGGTGGTTTAAAGAACATAATCTTCCCTTGAAGGAAGAATTTGAACAATGGACACATAATTTTAATACTAGATTCATCCTAAAAAACAAGTATTTTTGAGATTATGACAGCCAGTAGATCCTAAGTGAACTAGTCCCCCTCTAAAGGATGGGCTAAACTGGCGTTCATGTCACTTTTAGCCAAACTCAAATTAATTCAACTTCATTTCACAGACATTGGAATACTCTCTATATTCTATTATTCTATCCCTGAACATGTCTATTCTTTCCTTCCTATGTAAGTATCATAGGACCAAATTTGTTACTACTAACGCAGACGCTTACATATACTCTCTTTTATGAGCAATCCAACGTTCTAGCATGTAGAACTCTCGAAAACTTCAAAAATGGGCTTATTCCATAGAGAATAATTCAATATCTCAACTAAATGCTCGATTAAGACGTCGCCCAAAAAACCTGGCTGTCCTCAGACTAAGCTTCCCAGGGTGAGGTTGATGAAACTGAATACTTCTCTTCAATTTATCAGCATGTCCCTCTTGAGGAGTAAAATGCCAGATACTGCCATACAGTGCCTCTGAATTCAATCCTCCTGCGGCCATTGCTTGAAGAAAGTCTTGCCACGAAATTTCTCCTGGTGGATCTTTCTCCGAAGGTGTGTAGAACAATGCTGTAAAAACACGATATGTTTTTTTGCTTACTTTGATAACTTCTCGCGGCGCTTGAGTTTCTTCTACTTCTGGTACCTCTTCAGTTAAAGACGCAAATTCTTGAGATGTTCCCGCTTTCCTGGACTTTGACTTGGCCTTTGCTTTGATAATTTGGTTGTCCGAATCTAGAGACCGGGTGCTCTTTTCTTCTTCGATTCGTACGTGCTCGAAAGAACTGACCAGCTCGTCATCAATTGCAGTGCGCTGTTCCCGAGGCGGCTTGACCTTGGGAGCCACCTCAACCCATTTTGGCGTTCGAATTATTATTCTTTCGCTCGGCATAAGATCTTCAAGGGCTATACTTAGTGTGGTCTCTCCAGAAGCATCAAAATACGCTTGGTTAAGGTGATCCCAGACCTTATCAAGCAACCTCTCAGCCTGTCGCATTCTGAGATTATTCGCCGCATTCCGGCGTCTTTCTGCAGGGTAGTGAAAGCAGTTGGGCAATTCGACAAGCTTTGTAAGCTCGTCCACGGCTTTGTTTTCCAAAGTTTCAAATACATCCAACGTCCGTTTCCATTTAGACTCCGTAATGGCTTTTATGGTACCATCATCGGTCTTGAGATTTTGGTTTACTGTTGATGCCCAGGGTTGATAGAGATATAAATCCCGACTGATCGAAGCAACGATGCCAATGTGCGATAAAATTGACCCCCCCAAAGTTGTAATGCGGTCCTTTTCAGCTGGATTTGCAAGTAAATGACGCTCAAGCTCATCAACAAGATCCGGTAGCGAACAATAGAGAATAGCCTCGTTCTGAGACAACTCATATAGTATGAAGAATAGTTTATCCCGCGCTCCGGCTTTCACATTTCCTCGTACTTTATCAGTATAATCCAGCAGTATATCTGTGACGACGCTGTCTTGGAAGGCTTTTGAGAATAGAATCTCTGACCTTAAGTGATCCATTCTCAAATATTCACTAGCCCGATCTAGATTGTCCCAAAAGCACACGAATGCTCTCTCATACTCGGATGGAAGCTGTCTGTCAGAAGCGATCTCTGCCGAATACTTTCTTTCAAGATCTCGCCAGTGTCGGAAATCATCCCGCAGATTGTTCCAAAGGAGCAGGGAAATACATGCGTATTCCAGGATATTGACTACTTCAAATCCTTTCGAATCTTCTTCGCTGGTATAACAATACCGTTCGCCTCGAGCTTCAAGCATCTCAGCAAAATAGCTAGGATCTTCTCTTAGAGACCATAGATGATCCTCTGCTGCGGCGCGTCTCGCTTCGAGGAGGTCCTCAATTCTTTGAAAGTCTATCTGACTAGGTGGTCTGTAAAGGGACTCGGTTGCAGAAAATACAGTACTCAGCCGTTGAGAAGAAGATGGGGAGAGGTGTTCAGGTTCGGGAACGATAATAAACTTATGGTTTTCGTCCAGAAGCGTTGAAATATCGTGAAGTAGTGCTGAGCAACACTTTACAAGGAATTGATACGTGAAAACCTGTGCTCTCAATACCACCATTGCTTTTCCTGGAGGAAACCCTAGGCCAGATGCATAAGCCTCATCTGATCTCTCCTTTGACTCGAGGAACTCGACGTATTTTTCCGAATCTGGATTCTTGAAGACGACAGCGCGTTTCCATGGCGTCAATCCATCATAGATCTTGGGCTCTGGGATCTCCCACATATTTAACCCGAAGTGCATAGCGTAGAGATCTGCATGTACAAATAGGTGTGGAGAATAACGACCTCTTGAGTTCAGGAAAAGAGGCAAGAACATGCCTTGTGTGAGGTCCTCCAAATTAATGTATGGTGTCTCCATAGATCTCTGATACTCGTTCGACTTTATGGGTGCGCCAACCCAACGAGCTCGCATATTATCAAAGTCTGACCCGTGCTGTTTCGGGATCTCTGGATACACTTCCTGCAAAAGTTGAGCACGTTTCACCTTGGATTTTTTACTCCAGCGCTTCCGTATGACTGGTTCGTATGCACTCATGATTTTTCGAAGGAGATCCCAATTCTTTGTGAGTTCTTCTGCCTTTAGGATGGTCGTGGCAATTTCATCTTCTTTTAGCGTTATGGGCCGTTGCAAGTCAATCTTGGTGGACATTCTTGACATTCTTATGGCGTATGGTTCTTCGTCTGGGTCCAACATGGGGTTACCATGCCTCATGTTGTAGACTAGAGGCTTGTAGATATCCATTGTGTCATTGTGTTGTATTCGCTTTTTGAGATGAGGAGTTGGATGTCGAGGATGAATAGACTCCGTTTCAGTGCCAGAAGACATGGAATTGATGTGTGATTGACAATTAGCTAGTCAGAAATCAACTAGTGATTAGACAAGTGAAGTGACTGTGCTTTTAAGAGAGTGTTAGATTACTTTCATCAGAAAGAGGAGTTGGGTTCTAAATACCTTGAATGACGTCTAAGCTCTGCAGGACTGAGCCTGATATTCAAGTTCGAGATCAACGACGTGCAAGCGCTTGATAATTGACGAATATTCAGTGAGGCAATAAGCAGTATGAAGTTATTAAAGCTTTGAGATAAAAAGATATCTTGAATGAAGTAAGAATGAAGAAACTAGGGGAAAATAACCAGAGTGCACAAATTTGTTCGAAGTATAATAAAAAAATTGAGTAATTTTTTAGTTTGTAAACTAGAGTCTCGAATACACAATGTTGAAATTAGATAAACAAAAAAGCATAGTATTGATTTTTCCTCGGCTGGGTCATTCCAGATTCGGCTAGTCTCGGAAATTGGAAAAATCATCTGGTAGTGAAGATAGGTCTTCTAGCCAACGTTTTAAGTGAATCATTATACAACTAGCTGGATTTCCCGGCTACAGAAAATAACTTGATTGTGAGTATGGTGTTTGATGATTTGGTTATGAAGGGGTCGTTTGAAATGGTTCTTCTAAGATAGTTATATATAGATAGAATGAGTAGGAACTGAGGTTGGAAAGAAAGGAAGTATGTGATTTAGGGGACTTGATGTGATGTATTTTTTATATACTTTTGTGGTTGGCAAAGTGTGAATGAATCATTCTTGGGGGGAGCTTGTGAGTATCCTATAGCTAGGACTTTCAGATGTAGTATATGTATATACCTAGAGCTTTGTGAAAGGGAAACATGTTTTTTCACTTTCTAAAAGAAAATATAGATGATTAGAATGGTGTATTGATAAGAGGATAAAGGACAGTGAATTGGTAGAAATAGTGTCTATTTTGAGCAGAGAATGATCTATTTGTCTGGTATCGGCAAGTCAAATATAATGGGTTGTAAGCTCATACTACAAACCACTGTGTCACCTTGAGAGTTATGGAAGATAATCATACAAACAAGCAAAAATTAAGCAGTTCTCGATGACTACATGACTACAACTGAACAAACTAATTTTATAACTCTCTTTATTTTTGAGACTATCTGATTTTTGAATGGTAGAACTTTGAAAGAACTCCCTAGTTATAGACATATCATCTATTTTCCTTTAGTAAAGAAAGGTTTTGAGCGTTGAAATCCTCTTACTCCACCAGTAACTCTAACTCCAATCCAAATCATAACCCACACTCCCAAGCAATATCCATCCACCCCAGCGACCGGAACTGTATTTTGAAAAGCACATACTCCTTTCCCAGTAAATCGATTGCATAATAACTCCTGCTCACCCCCATCCAACACTCCATATTGCATTCATACCAGGTGATACTCTTATGGCAGTCTTACAGCACCAGTAGCTGGTTCAAGCTCCGTTAGATCTCTTCCACCCCAACCAATATCACGACAAGTCAAAAGCGCATTCAACCTAATGATTCCATGAAAGTAGCCGAAAAGAAGTTCTGCTGGTACAGCCCACCACATCTCATGCTTATTGCGGATATAATAAGGCCACGACTTAATCAAACGACTCAAAAATAATGCCCACAAAAGATGTGCACCAGCGTGATTATTCTCAGTGTGAATGTCGGATTTGAAAAGCGTGAAGAACAAGAGAAAATCATAGATAAGAGAGATGTTGAACAATCCAGAGACAAACATGGCGTAGCTAGTCCAGGGACAAAACTTCCAGCATTTTCCATCGAGGAGGATGGTTTTGAGGTGGGAGCGCCAGATTGATCGGGACCAGCGAAGAAGTTGTTGGTAGAATTTGGGCCAACCGCCTGAGGTACCTAGAGTTGTTTCAATGAGAGCTTCTGGTCTGTTGTGAAATACAGTTTTGTAGCCATGGTTAATCATGTATCTGGTATTGAAATTATCATCGTCGCAATTGACTGGACGGGCTCCCAAGAAAGTTTCGGAGAGGAATTTGGTTCTGTAATCGACTGTTTGCACAATATCTGTTCGGAGTAAACATGTTCTTCCAGAGATAACCCATACTCCGCCGTCTATGTTGTAGGTCGAAGTGAGCTCATAATTGTGGCGCTCAAGGTAGATACAAGCTAAGAAGTTGCGGAGGGAATCAGACCAATTGTCTCCAGGCTCGCGGATGACACGTTTAGAGGTTCCGACAATACCCACAGCTGGATCTTCAAATTCTGCGAGAACACTTTGGAGAAAAGTGGGAGGCCAGAAGACATGATCATCGACATAGGCAATAAGTCCAGTTCTCACCTGAAGGGAAGCTTGGACGCATTGAAGACGTTTGCTTGGTTGGTGAACGGCGAGAACCTCGATTTTTCGTCCTGGAAGTCGTTTCTCTCTCATGATTCTTTCGACGACTCTGCGGGCTTGTATGAGTTTCTCTGTTCCGACTGTCGAGATTATGATCTTGGCTGGGTGATTTTCGAGGACCGATTCGATAGTTCTGACAAACTCGTCGGCAAAATCACCAACGGTTGCTATGATTACCGTAACATCGCTGGGTACAACAGAAGGGTGGAGCGGCGGAAGTTTGTAGCTAGAGAAGAAGTTGTAGGAAAACAAATGGACGACTACCTTCAAGAACTTGAAGACAAACAGGAAGACGAAAGCTGCTGACCAGGGACTGGCTGTGAGGTACTCGTGGAGTATAGCAAAAAGTTCGCGCGAGGAGTCGGAATTAGTCCAAAGTAGCAGTACTGCAGAATATATAGGAGCCCAGCAGAGAAAATTATGAAGTGCTTCCACTCCACGTCCCAGTTTGCTATTTGGTAGAGAGACTAATAGAAAGAAAAGCCCTCCAATGAGTGTAGTGGCACTCAAGCTTGCAAGTGTTGGATTGAGTGCGAACCCAAGTAGTTGTTGAATAAATCCAGGAATCGATAATAGAAGACGACCAGGTACCACTATGAAGGAAATGACTGACTCGGGTATCAAAAATGCCAGGAAAGGGAGCGAGGAGATGATTAGAAGTGGTGTCTTCAAGATGAAATAAATAAACCTCAATAGAGTATTAAAAATTGTTGCAGCTCCATCTTGCAAATCTTCAAGAGTGGATTCAGACATGGTAAAGAATATATCAAACGTCTGTTTTATAGTTGGCGGCTTGTGTCAATATATTCAAGCTCCTGAATTGATCAACTATAAATTAATTTCCAGTAGATGGTTGTAAAGCTGGCGGATTGCTTCAAGCCTTTGAGGAAAATGCAAATTGAGTATAAGATTTTCAAGCAACCTCAGGAAAGAAGAAAGGAACAAGTTCGACCATCCCATGCATTCATAACTCATTGTGGGAGCCATGGCAACAAGCCAGGTGAATACAGAGTTTCACCTGAGCTCAACAAAAGACTCGAATAAATTTTTGGAGCCCCACTAGGATGTAGAAACTTCTCCTTGAGTCCCTTGTGAGCCTTCTTTATTGAGATCAAAACTTCGGACGAAAGCATAACTGGCCTTTCATGTGAGATTAGTGTAGTATCTTGTTCTTTGTGATTGCCTTTGCCCCACAAACTGTTGAGAGACGGCACATTCAGTCTTATCAATTGCATATGTGCATGAACTGTGGATCTAAGAAGATTTTTCTTCTCTTCCTGATGAGTAAACAAATGGAAAAATGGTCTAATTCCTCAGTTGACATGATAAGGAGTTGAATCGAGATTTTTGAAGATGGGCCAGGTAGTAACATCAACAAAGACTGTGACAATATATAACGAACAAAGACAAACATCGTGGACCATATTGTAAGATAAGAAAACTGTGGCAGTAATAACCAATAGCAGAGACACTCGTTCAATATGATAACTATAAGATGAATGTACCTAGATATATATGTCTTGACATACAATATACAAATGGAAGGCGCACAACGTTTTCCGTGCTGATAATTCGTTTCCCAGACACCCTTTTAGCTTAACAACTACTAGCAGATAATTGCCATCATAATTACGTATTGTGCATCTTGATTGTTTCATATTTTCTCCCACCTATTCTCTAATGAACCCACCGTGAATAAAGATAAGGTAGGCAGTGTCATTTACAATTCAGCAACATGATGTGTATACATATAAAGGATTGATGCGATGGCCCTGTGCTGATGAACATCATTGAATTCGAACATGAAATGTAATTAAACCAATTTTATCTGCACCTCCATCTCCTCATATATAGAAAACTTGAAGGAGGTTAAGATATGGTTGGTACTAACTGGTATTAGCGTGATCTATCCCCCGCATTTTGAGCACAGACGGCAATTAAATCTCCGAGCTGGTACAGATTGTGCACGGTCCATATTTAGACTTCCCTCGGCTCCCTCCTCCAGGTTCACGGCACCACGTCGATCAATACAGTCAGTCAATACAGGCAATATAATTTTCTACAAACTCTTCTAAAGCATATTATCTAGGTCAATAGGTTTTGTTTGTTCCTACATACACACCATAATATTGAGAACACAAGCTTTCTTGGAAATTTGCTCACCTATTCATCCTGATTGGCCTACCAATCCTCTTCTTTGGTATCCGTTAGACCAGATATTCCTCTCTTGAGTTGGCCTTGATATACCACCTTCGTCTTCCATCCAAGGCTTAGGTCTCAAATACTCGATCCAAGAGTCTTTCATAAGACAGCAACGTACGTTTGCCAGCTCAATACTCATGTAGTATGAAAGTATAGAGTTCCAAAACTCTGAGCAAACGGTGTAGTGCCATAGGCTATTTCAGAATTTCGCTGCTACTAGAGGTTTATACAATTCGCAGCATGGATACTTTTAAAGGATTGTAAGCCAGGAACTAGTCAGAGAACTAACATCATTACAGAATGCCTTGTACCTGCTGTTCCCGAGTTCCAGCTCCATCCGAAGAAAGATATGAGCCTTTCATCTCATGTCGAGAATTAGGAGAAAAGTGTCCGATCGATAGCAAGACTACCAAGTCCTTTAAGTACCCTATAATTCGCCCCGAGAGTGCTAGCAGCATTAGCCTCCTTATCAAAATGCCAATGGAAATCATTCAGCGCACTCTCAAGTATCTTGACATTGAAACTCTAGTCAATATTCGCCGTTGTTCTCAATACTGCAGACTAGCAGTTGATACTACCCTAGAATGGCAAGAGATTTCTGAAAATGCTCCAGAGGCCTTGCGAGCCATTTTGTGTACTGGAGTTGGATCCAATGTCCTTCTGCTCCAGTTGCATCATGCCTTGACAAACCCTGAATGCGAATTTTGCGTAGAAGACTTTGAACCCCCTACATAGTAAGTACTGGAATCTGTTCAGTGATACTGAGAAATGCTAATAATTACAAAGTTTGGACGATGAAAAGGTCATGGGTGCTTTTTTATCACTCTTTGAAGGCAAGCGAGCTTGTGCTTATTGTCTCCGGAATGATATCTCACTTAGAACTATTCCATATATCGACTTCGTCCGACTCCAGCGTCCCAACTCTTCAATTAAAATTTGGCCCGAGGTGCAAAATCCACCAAAGTTGCGTACGCTCCCAGGTACCTACGGCTACAATAGATACAAGAGCTTTCAACGTCTGCTTCTTGTTCCCCTGGGCGACGTCGAATACGTTGAAGGAATGTCAATGAACCACAACGAAAGACAATTATTGCTGCGCGCACAACACGAAGTCATCATCCCCAAACATCCATTCGCCGATCGCCCAGTATTGGACAGACAACTCGCTCCGCACGATGCCTACGTGGGATTCGAACGCGAGGATGAGATAGCCCGTCGTTACATGACTGCTATTCCCTTTTCCTACTTTGGAAAGACTCACACTCATCCCAATACTAAAAAGCGTGTGAATTTCCATGGTTGCATCGAATGTCATCTTCAAGAGAGGTACCACGAGAGACAATTCGTAGCATCTTTCAATCAGGGGATGCCGACGCGGTAGTCATGGCATGCGCGGAAAATATATACAAACGAGAGACGAGACAGTGGCTCAATGATGCAGACGCGGAGAAACTACATGCGAGAAATTTCCACGAGCGCATCGAGGGTGAAGAACGTGAGTGGAGACAGCGAAGACAAGCCCCAATCTTGATTTTCACGGAACCAGATAATTCAGAAGACTTTCGAATGTGGGTGTCCCCTGAAGCCTACCTGCAAGTGACAAATTATCAAAGCTGACTGCATGAATAGGTATGAATATGATTATCCGCTTTTACTGTAATGTAATCGCAGTATTGGGAGCGGACAATCTGGAAAATCGGGTGTACCCGTACAACCTAGAAAGGAGCTTCAAAAGTTGCGAAGATATATCATCGTCGCTTCTACAATTATTTGAGGGTTAATTTTAGTTATGGATCAGGGACTAGGAAAATATCAAGGCTTTTCGTAACGTATTTTGAACTCAGTATAAATGACACGCAAACATTTATATCCCATTTTCTTCACGTACCCATCTACCCCTTTCCGAATAGTTACTTCCTCCACCACTTATCCTATGTCTCGCACTCCAAAACATGTAAGAAAGTGTTTATTCAACTCCACTTCCCCCCAGAGCTCTCTAAATCCCAACTCTTCTCCCATACATTCCATCCACAAATCACATATATAGCACAAACTCAAACTCAAACCCACATTCCCACGACCGTAAATCCTCTTTAAAAGTTTTCAAGAAACCAAAATTTCCATTCATAAACACGCACAAGTCTACATAGGTATTATTCCAGCCCATTCCATCCCACACTTTCCGGGAAATAAAGATATTATACACCCCTAACACGAAAAACTTATAATTCATACACAAATCGTGCTCCATTCCTTTCACTGTCCCTTTCCCTTCTTGCTTCACTACTCCTACTATTCCCATCATAAACGCCCGACAATAAATTTCTACTTCACTCTGCCCGAAGATCTCCTACATCACATTATCATCCACCGTACCATAAGAAATTACAAGAACCCCTTGCTCATGCTATCCTGCCTGCTCAAACTACTTTTTCGTTTGGGGATGTCAATGCCTGCATCCTCGGAGCCAAATTCGCTACTCGGTCTCCAAGTGCCACTCGCACTTATTCTCCCACCCGGACCTTTCTGCATTCTCAATGCCTTCCAGCCTTCCAATTCGCGCTCTAACCTCAAAGCCTTTTCTCTCTCTTCCCTCAGTTCACGTTCTGCTCTACGAGCTGAAAGTTGATTAGTTGAGTCACTTGATTGAAGCTCGTCGATTGTCTTGAGAAGTTTTTCGACCTTATCTCTCGAACGGGCAATATCTTCTTGAAGTTGCGTGTTGGCCTTTTCTTTGCGTTCAATTTGTTGTTGAAGATCTTTGACAGTGCGATCGACATTTCTTACGGAACGTTGCGATTTGTTGCGTTCGGATTCTTGCTCGTCGAGTTGGGCTTCGAGCTATTTTATATGTTAGACTAGTGATAACTTTATGGGAAGGGAATTCTTACCTCTTGAACACGACCGTGAAGGAACCTCACGTCTTGACTGGCACTTGAATAGCCTTTAGTTTCCAGATCCAATAGTCGGACCTGAGTTTCTTTGAGTGACTTTTCTAACGCAGCCTTCTCCTTATTCAACTGTGCTGTCATTTCTCTCTCGGCAACAATGTCTTTCTGTATTTCGGATGCAAGTGCTTCAGATCGTCTCATCTTGCCAATGGCGGCAGCTGCAATATCTTCTTGTTGTGCTAAGTTAGATTTGAGTTCCAAAATCTCGCGATCCATTCCAGCTGCATTTCGTAGCGCAGGGCTATCGCTTCGTGCAAGATCGTCGAGACCAGCTTTAGCTTCCTCTAGACGAGCTTGTAGGCCGCGCTTCTCGCGTTGAAGAATATCTCTTTCGGCAGCCGCATCATCCACATCTGTTCTGAGACTCCGCACTTGTGCTAATAGTGATACAATTTTGCCTTGAGCTTCATTATGAGCGTTGACAGCTTCATCACGTGATGTATTGAGATCCGAAAGGGTGGCTTCCAGACGAGCCTTTTCTTTAGACCATGTCGAACTGTTCATAACTTCATCATCCCACTTGGTTCGAAGCTGATCCAATTCTTCCCGAAGTCTTGTATTCTCTGTCTGTTTGAATAGCTTCTCCTCACGAGCAATGTCCAATTCATTCGTGAGAGTGGCAAACTCAGCCTGGTATTTCTTCCTAGTCTGTTCCATACTAGATTCTTTGTCTTCAATCTCCATGGCACGTTGACTTCGATAATCTTCAAGCTCGTGTTGTAATCGCTTCCTCGCTTGTACTGCGGCATCAAGATCAGAGGAAAGATCCTCGAGCTTCTCTTCATAATGTTGGTTCTGTTTTTGAAGATCTTCAATGGCTTCGTCCATTTGCTTCCGTTCTGACATGATTTCGGCACATGTATCCTCCGCTTCTTTTGCTTGAGATCTGGCGAACTGTTCTGCCCTAGAAGCCTTCAACACAGCAATTTCAGCCTGTTCTAGTTTGCTAAAGTACTCGTCTGCTCTACTCTTGTAGAGACCGAGACTAGAACTAACATCAGCCAATTTTGAGGATTCGGCATCCAAACGGATCTGAAGATCGGCAAATTCTTGCAAAAGTTGATTTCGACTGGCGGCATCCTGATCCCTTTGCAAAGTCATTTCCTCAAGATCAGACTTAGCATCTCGGAGATCAACCTCCAAGACTGCTCGGGTGTGTTTCAGGACCTCAAAATTTTTCTTCGTATCATTGAGGTCTACTAATGCATCTTTGTGAGCGTACATTAAGATCCGTCGGTTTTCTTCTTGATTGTTGATGAGCTCAAAGAGCTCCTCGTGGGATTTAGCTTGAATATCGCGGAATGACAATTCTCCGGTTTGAATACTCTGTTCAAGAGCGGAAACTTTCTTTGCAGAATCATCAAGCATTTCATGAAGTCGAGTGTTGGCTTGCTCAAGCTTGTGCACACGGCGTACCGACGGACTATCCTCAAAGATATCTCGTCCTGGAACAAAACGCTCAAGCTGGCTCTGCAGATGACGATTCTCCATTTGTGATAGCTGCAATTGATTTTGTAGTTCTTCCACGTCAGCTTTCAAGTCCATGCGATTGTTGAAACTTAACATATCGGCAGTACGATCGGAGCGTCCAGAATCTTGCCCAACGTCACCCGAGCTTGGAAAGCGGGGATTAGGTGGGGTCGCGCCTGATAGAGGTCTGCCATTGAGTTTGTTTTTGAGATGTGTTGGGGATGAATTTCGAGTTCCCTCATTGCCATCAATTTCCTCAAGTTTAGGCCTACCGGGCGTATGCCACTCGGAATGGTCACCAAACTCATCTTCATATCGTTTTCGCAATTCAAGAACTTGTGCTTCAGCATTCGACCGACCAGCAGCTTGAACCCTGAGATTTTGCTGAAGTTCCTCAACTTTTTGAGTGAGTTGAGAAATAAGGTTTGGATTTTCAGATGTGCTTTTATCGAAACTACCATCGAATTGTGCAACAGGCGGTGCAGGCATCTCTGGGTCCACAATTTTCATCAGCTCAATGATGTCTTTATCTCGGGTATCAATCAGAGATTGGAGCTGTCGATTTTTGGACTGGGCCTGAGAATGCAACTGTCGTTCATCCTCCAATTTGCGGTTTGCCTCTGCTAACTGGGTCGTCACAGTAGAAGAAGTCTTCTCGGCGTTTCTACTACTCATATGTTCACGTTCAACCTCACGTGTTAGATCTTCAAGATTAAGCTCTAGCTTTTCTTTTTGCTTTTGGACGGATGCCAGTTGAATTTGCACATCGCCTAGCTGTTTATTGAGCTTCTTGTTCTGCTCATCGACCTTTGCTTTCTCTCGCTGGGCTGCTATTAGCTGACCTCTCGATGATTCACTTGCTCTAGAGCTCGTGCGGGCAATCTCGAGACCTTTTTGTTGAAGCTTGTTTAGCAAAGCACGATTGTCGTTTTCAGACGCATTTAATCGACTTCGGACTGTGTTCAATTCACGTTCAAGTCGCTCCTTTTCCTGATCGACCTTAAGACCAAAATCTCCAGACTCTATCATGACCTTATTGAGATCTTCCACTTGCTGATTTAGGCGGCTGCACTCAGTCTCAAAGTACTTTGCTCGATTTTGTTCTGCTTCAAGATCTTTCTTCAAACTAGCTTCGCGCTCTCGGGCTAGGCGTGATGCATTGCGGTCTCCAACCACTTCAGCTTGTATCCTAGCCTCTTCGGCTGCAATCTTCGCCTCTCTGAGCTTTCTGATTTCGTTTCGCGCTTCATTGCGTTCTTTTTCAGCAGAAACTCTATTCTCCATTGCTCTTCTAAGAGTGTCTTGTTGGACGTATAATTCCTTTTCGATGATGATTTTAGCCTCATTGAGTTCTTGAAACTTCTCACTAAGCTCTCGGAATTTATGCTCTGCGAGGAGTTGGACATCATCTCGAGATTGTCGCTCTTTGCTAAGATCTTTTTGCACCTCTGATAATTGCTGTTTTAAGGTCAAAATCTGTTCTTCTAACCTCTTTCGATTTTGCTCAGCGTGAGCATCCTCTGTCAGTCTAGCATCGAAAAGTTTTTTCGCGTCGGCAGCTTCCTTTTGTAGATTGGCTTGCTGGGATTTCATGGCGAACATCTCAGCCTGTACTTCCTTTAACCTGTTGGCAATGTTTTCTTTCTCCGTCGAAAGTGATCGCTTCTGCTCGTCAAAACTTTTCTTCTCGGCCTCGAGTTTACGATTATCAGACCGAAGGATAGCCAACTCGCTTTCCTTGCGCCTGACAAGATCTTCATATCCTGTCGATGTTGCAGATAAATCAGAAAGTTGCTTCTGTACTTTGCGGTTTTCGCTGGCCAAGTTGCTTTCCCTTAACTTAGAAGCTTGAAGATCTTTCGCTGCTGCTGCTAACTTGACCTCCGAATCTTGATCGTTTCTGATGAGCTTCGCCTCAAGGTCCTGGACCTTTCTCTCCTTGATGCTTAGTTGACTTTGGAGTAGCTGGACGTCCTGGGAAAGCTGCGCTTCTTGTGCGCTTCGGTCTGCTTGCTTCTTGGCGAGATCCTTCAATTGCTTGTCTAAATCGGCCAGCTGTTCAGCAAGGTCCCGCTTTTCGCTCTCCAGCTTAGCTATTATGTGACCTGCTTGCTCTAACTGAGACCGATATTCGTCGGATTGATGTTCCGCGCGTTTTTTGGCCTCTAGCAAGTCATCGAGTTGATCCTCAAGCTTTTCCTGATCTTCAATAGCACCAGCCAGCTTATCGCTCAACTCTGTCTCACGGAGCTGCAGACGTTTGAATATCTCTTCCTTGTCCAGGGCTAACGCTCGTTCGCTTTCTAAGGTTTGTTGGATCTTTAACATCTCAGTGTGGGTATTTCGTCGTTCCTCATCTAGTCTTTGACGTTCCGACGCCTCTTGGTCCATTTTCTCGTTAAGCTGCTTTATCATCTCATCTCTCTTCTTGACTTCTCCGGATGTTCTCGTAGCTCCTAACAACGGCTTCATCTTGACTAGAAGGCGCCACCAAGGGTTCTCACAAAGGTCGATGTAAACTTGGAAATTTCGCTGTATGATACGTGTTGCCTCCGCTCTGTAAAGTCGCTTGTTGGCAATTCGTCGTTGGGTAAAACCGCGCGCCAGCGATTGGAACCGTGTCATAATCTCGCGGATCAAGGCATCACGTTGCTCTTCGAGCTCTGCCAACACACCGGCACGAAAGAAGACTTTAGTGATTCCAACACGGAACAATGACTTGTCCAATTGAAGTTTATCTAGCATCATGCTAGCTGCTGTCTGGCCATCAAGGTACCCTTTGGGGATGTTCCTGCACAAAACTTCATATCTTTGTCGGAACTCCGAAAAATGAAGTCTGTTTGGAAAGCCAGTGCGTGCAATTCTGATACCCTCCAAGACACCGTTGCAGCGTAATTGGTCAAGCACAAGTGGTGCACTGAGTTGCTTAGGTTTCTTCTTGTGGTTGGGTATGATACACCTCACAAAATGAGGATGTGTCGAATGCAGCTGGGCCATTAAGCTAGATAGCTGTTCTTTATGTCTTTGAGCGACGGTGCGGAAAAGCCCTTTCTTGACCCTGCTTCGGATGGCACCCGAGTCATCGCCTGCTTCAGAGCAATCGCTAAAGAGATTTGCAACATGTGCATCGCTGGATGCAGCCAACAATCTTGTAATGTTGTCATTCATTGGATCTTTATTCTTCTCCAACCATCCTTCGGTAGAATATTCAACTTCGGCGGCGTAGTGAGTAAGCATGAATCCTTGCCCAAGTCTAGAGGCACGATACTTGGGAGTTTTGCGATCCCAAAGAGAATGAAGTTTTTCCGTAAATGACTTGTCCGTGGCTTTTGGCATCACACAATCTTCATCAAGACACGAGAAAATACCAATGGGATTTGGCAACTCAATTAGATCAATCGTGGGCTGGAGATCATGACCAAAATCAATGAATTTCCACTCGATTTTTTCACGTGCGTATTCTTCTTGTTCAAGGACAAACATATGGTGGTTGAAAAATTGCTGGAGCTTCTCGTTCGTGTAGTTGATGCACAGTTGCTCAAAACTGTTTTCCTCGAATATTTCAAATCCAGCAATATCAAGTACCCCGATGAAATGAGAGTCATCGAGACCCATACCAGTCCTATCCAACTGGCGATTGATTCGGGTCACAAGATCACCAAAACCCCTCTCGTAAATACCCTTTGCCAACGAGTCTATTGCGAGTAGAACTTGTTCGGGCGTCTGCACCTTCTCAACCCATTCTCGTCCAGCTTTTACTCGAGGGTGCAACAATCCTTTCAAGAATGGCTCGAGCGGAATTCCAAGCAGCTTACACACTTTGTCGGCCTGCGCACGTGCGTCCGGAGCTAATCTAGCTTGATCGGCAGATCTACTCTCCTTCACAACGGTTATATTACCCAGGTGGAGAACAGCAGCAACTGTTCGTAAGATAGATATTTGGTCGTTCTCGGAGAAGCCCATGACATCAAATGCCTCGACCAAAGTGTTCCATTCATCTCTGTCCGAGACACCAACGATGGTGTCGTGACCATCCCGCGTATAAGCGAAATCTTCTACGTCTAATTCTTCAATGAGAAATTCGTTTTTCAATGTGCGATCGGCTCCCTTCAAAAGCTGATAAAAAACGTGATAATTCCGCTCATGAGCATTCAGCCTTACCACTCTTGATTTCTCAAGGAGATACCAATCTATGAAAGCACCGGCAATACTGCCATTGCGCGTAAACTCGATCCTGATGAATTTACCGAAGCGGGAGGAGTTATGATTCCTGACTGTCTGCGCATTCCCGAAGGCTTCCAAGATTGGATTTGCCCGAAGAATCTGCTGCGAGAGAGTTGAATGCTGTACCTTGTTTTTGACTGGTGATTCCGAGTTTGCAACTGCCGCCAGGTATTGAATGACTTTTTTAGTATTTTCCGTCTTTCCGGCTCCAGACTCTCCGGTTACAAGAATGCTTTGGTTTTCTCCTTCTTCAACTAAATTCCTAAAAGCCTCATCTGCCATTGCAAATATGTGTGGTTTGCTTTCTTCCCGACCTCGTCCCTTGTACAAATTGATGTACTCATTCGTGTATATAGGTAATGAGCAATATGGATTGATGGTGACCAGAAACAAGCCTGAATAGGTGTAAATGAGATCAGCTTGGTATCTCATATGAAGATTATGGACGACTGATGCTTCATTCAGATGCGTAAGCTCTGCCATGTCATTTGCTTTGTCGAATTTCGCGGGATTCACTTTGTCAACAGTCTCAGGATCGACCTCTCGTTGCTAAATACCCAGTCAGATATTACACCGGAAGAGGAAACACTTCCATGAACTCACACTTCCATCGTCACATTGGACTAATATATGATGATTTTCCAGTTCCTCCACTACCCAGCCTTTGACGAATGCAGTTTGAGGATCTTTCAGCCAAACATATCTTTTCCCGGAAAAATCATTCTCTCCCTCCATTGCCATCACGGTTTCTGCGCCGAGTCGCATCTCTTCCGAATTGATGAACGAAGGCGCAAATGTATTTGAAGAGGGAATAATCGACTTTGAATTGGAGCGAAATCTTAGTGAAACATTATTATTATTGGGGACCACGATATCTCCCAGCGAGGAGTAGGATTGGTGTCGATTGTGTGTTTGATGACTTTGTGCCGGTGATGAGAAAGGAGCAGACGCAAATATTGCACTTTTCGGCCTGCCTTTGGGAACACCTGGTTCCGGGGATAAAGTCCCTGACCTAGCAAAAGGGTTATTGCGCTTTGTTTGAAAATTGGATGCCATCGTGGAGTAGGCGTTGTTGGATTTCAATTGATTGAAGCAAGGCTATGTTCCTTTAGAAAGTAAACAAAGTCCTTCCATGGGAAGGCTCTGAATCGTCGCAAGGCAAAGATAGGAGAGAAAAGTTCATGCAACTTCTTCAATCATTACATGTGAAATTAGTAAAGAGGGTAGTAAATAAAAAGATTCATTCTTCTCTGTCGGCTCTTTTTATCTCATGGATTGGAATCGAGATTATTCTCAACGTCAGTGTCCAAAGTCAATATTGACGACGCGAAATAGGATTATTAAGTGGCGGTACAAAGTCTAATAATTTGGCTTTATAAGTTAGTTACTAGGTAGTTGAATGGTAGAGTTTCCCCTAGCAACGCCAGTTAATCCAGTGCCGCTTCAGTTGTAGAATCATGTCGATAAGGAAATTGACAGTTTATCGTAGGGCAGCCTTGCTGTGAGCACCTCGTGACATTTACGCTATTGTGACACTGTTTTTGTCTAGTGACACGCACACACCAGTATCCAACGGGGATTACCGGCGCTAAGCAACTTTCAATCTACTGGCGTTTGCTTTTGGTGCGATCGTACTAAATAAGTTTCTTTTTCCCATTACCATCTGCACCTCCACCTCCACCTCCACCTCCACCAACCTTTCAGACAGATTCTGCCCAGGTCTTCTTCACGACCAGATTCATCAAAATCGAGTCAACAAAATAAGGGAAGAAAGTGATAGTCTCACTTAAACTTTTCATTGTTGAATTTTGGCCATCCTTTCTTCTGGCTCATCGCGACACCCTTTTCTCTCCGAATTCTGCATCTGTAGTTACTTTTCCCTTGATTTGATTGCGCTGCGCCGATGATACTCGACCGTTAAATTGAACGCGTCTTCGAGGTAATTTTGCAATACCAGTCAGAACTAATCACAGTTGAAGTTTTGAATCCGTTCAGTGAAGCTAGGTACTGCTTTATACTTGCCGACAATGTCGGATTATCCATACTATGGCGCGGCCTATGGCAATCGCGACCAGTCGAACAACCCACCTTACCCTACCTATCCAAATCAGTCCGCATATTATCCGCAAGATGATGGCCGATCAGGGCAGCATACGATGACTCAAGGATATGATAATACAATGGCATATGGCTATAATCAACAACAACTTCCAAACTACAGCGCGCCCGCTATGCAGAATAATATACCCCCAGTCCCAGTCTTCCAGGGCTGGAACCAAGAAAACTCATCTATGCCCCAATACAATGCAGCGCCGCAAGGCATGCATTCTTATGCTGGGTACAATCATCAAAATTATGCTCAAAATTCGCAATACTATGCACCAGTGGCTGCCCCGCAGCCAACTTATCATTCTCAAACGCCCGCATATGGTAACGTTAAAAACCGCGAAATGAGCGAAGGAGAGTATGATGATACTTCTGCCCACATGCACGCAGCAGCCCCGAATGCTTCAATTGGCGCACCGGGCTCAAGCCACTATCGCGGGATTGATGGCAATGGCTATCTTGATACTGCCCATCGCGCTGTCTATCCAACAGGCCAAGATCCTGCTCCTCAGCAGCCGCCACCGACTCTTCGCAATGGTAAGCAATTCCGACCTCTCATAAACTCGTTTGTTAACGTTTTCCTGCAGCAGCCGATTATTATAATCAACGTCAACCTTCGGCCTCGTACTCCCCTTTCGTAGCCCAAAGTGAACCAATGTTTGACCAAATCAAGGATACAGGCGCAGGTAAGGGAGCATTGAACACAAAGAGAGGCGGTGCACAGAAAAAATCAAAGCCTCAATCACCGGTAGGAGAGCCTAATAACACTGCATCCAAATCTGGCCAGGAAAGTATCCCCTCTTGCACGAAAGGTCAGGTATTAGAGACCGTTGGAAGTGCTCACCCTTCTCAAGCTGATGCATCCAATAATACCGTTACTTTCAAAACTGTCGCTGAAGCTCGTAAAAAAGCTGAAGGCGCCATACTGAATCTTTGGTCGTATGATGTTCGGTTCCCAGCCTATCTTGAAGAAGGGGTTGATGAAAAGCTAGTCGGAGAATTGTTTGATGAACTTAGATTGCCGAAAACTGCAACGAAAACTATCAGTGCAGCTTCTGCGCGAAGTCCCTCCACCAGTGTTTCTTCTGCGCCTACGTCTGGCCTCCCTGCCACTAGTGGACAACCCAATGGTCAGGCTTCAGCCACAAACTCTGCAGATAAATCTAAACAAGCTATGACTAATGGAGCAGGCACTGCTCCTTCTGCAACTGCGCAACCGAAGAGTGCAGCCGCCGTTGAGAAAGAAAAAACAATGCAGGCGAAGATGGACGCTCTCAGGAAATCGAGAGCTGAGCGAGCCCAGAAGAATGCGGCAAAGTCTGTCACAACGGCCACTACTAGTATTTCAAGTCCAATTGCTCAAGCTAAACCAGCCACAATTCCTCACGTGCCTGCTTCGGTTTCGAATTCTACATCCTCTCCTGGAAAAGTTGATGAAAAAAACAAGGTTGGTACTGCAGATTTAAGTAGCTCAACTTCAATTCCAGCTTTGACTGTCAAAACACAATTTTCCCAATCGAACGCACCACCAAATATTCAACAGACCTCTCAAAAGATCCCGGGTTTGTTCTTAGCTTCTGCCCCACCCGCCCCATCATCTGTCCCACAAACTCTCATGCCAGCCCCGGTTCTCAATGGGCAGCGCAAACGTCCAGTAGCTGCTGACTTTGATGGACCTTCGACATCCCAAATACCGCTCAAGCGACCCTTTGGCCAAAGTCGGGTGGAGCCAAAACCGTTTGTCATTTGTGTCAGCGAGGATGAAGACGAGTCCGACGAAGATGTCGAAATGGAATTGGAATCTCAGGCTGATGCAGATTCTCCTGTTCAAACTCCTCGCAAGCTACCCGAACAAAAGGCATTGCCAACAGCATCTTCCTTTCTTCCACCAAAACCATTTACTCCACCTCCTACATCGTCGGCTAGCACCCCGCCAAATTTGCAAAGTTCCATCAAGCCACATCCTGAGGATCTTCGACGCAAGGAAAGCGAAATTGAGCAATTGAAGAGAAAAATTGCTGAAGCCGAAATGAGGAAGGCAAACAAGAGAACCAGCAGTGGTGCACAAACTCCCATTAATAACGTCGCAGCTAGTATGAGCAACATCGGCCTTATAGCCAATAAACCAGATTCTTCAGTCGAAATACAGAAGGGAGCCAATGTTTCCAAGGATAAAGCACAATCAAATGCAGCTCAAGCTGCTGAGCTTCAAAAAGCTGCTGACATTCGAAAAGAAGAGGCCGAACTCAAACGACTCCGATGTGAAAGAATTGCGAGCGCCATTCCCCGTGTGGATGCTGAAGCTTTACAAAACCAAGCGAGACTTGAGGAACTTCGTGCCGAAACCGCCAGAATCGAAGCGGCGGTGCAAAAAAACCTTCATGACAAACAAAAGCTGGTTGAGGAAATGGAAAGACTAAGTCAGGAAACCGATCAACAATTGCAGAAGCAAAAAGAAAAGTTGGACAGTCTCACACGTGAAGAAACAAAAGACAATCCAGGTAGGTGCAAAATTACAATTATCAGACTGCCCATAGTTTTAGATGCTCATATTCCCACAGCTGAACCACCCCTAGCTTCTGCTCAGCCAGACTATGAGCCAGAACCACAAAGTCTCGCCGAATCCGAGCCAAAATCTGCATCAGTTCCCATGGAACTAGATGACCAAATCAATGATGCTCACGACGCAACGCAGCAACAACTACAACAGCAACAGCCTGAGCAATCCCGTACTACTGATGTCACTACCGCCTCCCCAATCTCTGTACCTCCGACCCAACTTGATAGTGCCGGTGATATGGCACATAACACAACCGAAGACCATTCTTTTGAGGTCAAAGAAGCATCCGAAACCAACCAAGATCTTGAGGCTGCGCTACAAGAAGCCGTGCGCGCGGACGCAGACTCTACTGGTCCCAGTGACGTCGAAATGGAAGACGGCAATGCGCCTCCTATGCAAGTTATAGACGCGACTTCCACACCCGATGAAGAGAAAGCAAGCTCCGATTATTCACCAGTTCTTGAGCGTTCTCAGCCACTCGCAGCTTCGTCAACACCTAACCTTCCTGATATGGTAGATGCCCCAGAGGTCGCTGATGTAGACTCGGATAACTATGAGCCCCCAGAGGCCACTCCTGCTGCTGATGAGACCTCGTCGGTGGCGTCGTCTCCATTCAGCCCCGCTCCACCAGATTCGGTTATTGATGCAGCAGAAGGTGGCGAATTGCCAGAGTTGTCAAACGGTGACTTAATGGATCTTGAAATTATCTCTAATGGCGTAGAACAAAGTCTGCCAGCAGAAGATGGTAGTGTCCCTCAACTAACAGAAGTAAAAGTCTTCTCCATTCTTGGTGGCAATTCACAGGCTGACCCGAGCCCAGAAACCCCTTTCTAGCGACCCCAATAGCTCAAGCTCTTTTACACCATATGAAAGCCCTTTGAGAGTGTTCCATGCATTTCGGTTTCATCCAGAATATAAGCAACGAATTCCGGGTGGGCTGAAGTCTATCACTTATACTAACAAGATTGATGCGAAGAAAGAACTATGTCGATACGAATTGATGGGAGGAATATGCAATGATAATACTTGCGATTTTCAGCATTTTAGAGAAATGGGACTGCCTGGTGCGTCGGTAGTTCCAGCCAGCATGCTCTGAGCTCACCCTTGAGTATCCCTTTCGTCCCCTTTGCTAACTGTTTTTCTGACAGATGATGCTGTTCTTACGAAATTGGGATCCCCAGACGAGTTCGAAGGAGAACAACGAGATAGGTTTATTGAAGGTTTGAAATCATTACTCTCGGACCTGCGAGCAAGAAAAATTAAAGACTTTGATGCCATTGCCTCAGAGATTGTTGCACATCGTGCCAAATTTCTAGGCGATTCATCAAAGGTACTCAGCCTCGAAGGCACGACACTTTAAACGACTCACCTACAGCGGCCTGGACCCTGACTTGTAATTCTCTCAGCCCATTCTCCCCATCAAAATCACATACTGTTGCCAGAGACCTGATCAGGCTTGGTATCGATGCTAAATAATCTTCCCTTTTTGGTTTGAAGGCCGAAGATGGCTTAATCTCACTTTGTTGGACCATTTATTTTCAAAATCTTCTTATTTCAGACCTGAAATGTCAATGGACAACGACTTTGCATGGATGGAGTTGCATGGAAAAGCTGGTGTTTTATGGCATGTCTACGATACCCCATCCGATGAAAAAAAGGAGACCTGGGGGAGTGCATCCAGTGGGTGCAACCAGTGTGTATTCTGGAATAAAATTTCCTTTTGACACTGAATGATAAAAATCTGCGAAGTTTATCCTGCGAATTAGCTAGTTACTCATAGCATCATAATTGACTAATTTATTACGATTTTTCAATCAATTTAAATGCATTTTGTCGTTGACATCGGCATATCATGGCTTTTGTGAAAGTTGCTTGCTCAGTCTGATTAATTGATCTCGACAGGATGGGATGTCTTGTTCAATTGAGTTTTGTCAAACACATGACCACGCGTAAGAGATAAAATGCAATACCCCAGAAATTAGAAGAACCCCCACCCCTCATAGTGATCATCGCACGCAACTACTGAAAGCGGTAGTTCCGATACTAATAAATAATCACGACATCCAAGCCAGAACTTCATCATTGCGCTAAGTACCAGTGAGCACCAATCTTTTTTTTGCATCCAACTAATATGACAGGCCAATCTAGGGAAAACAGCTTCCCGATATGATTATCTGCTTTACAAGTGGGCTATGGCTTTCATCTCACTGGCTTTGGAAACGGAAAAACGATAAGGTTGAAGGTTCCTGAGTGAACAGGGGATTGAGGATCATGATGTAACATGAATCTATGAGTATCTCGCAGTGGCTCGAAGTTGGGTGATTGCGTGCTACATCATTTAGTCGGAAGCATAGCGATTCCCTTGCAACTGGAATGGCCGTGAGCCTCGGTCTATCACCTTGACAAGAAGGAAAAGATGGAAGTTATCCTAGTGATTTTGATGTGATGTGATTCGATCCATTCTCATGCAATCTTGACTCCATTTATTTGATATTTTTCATATGGCGGGTATGACGATATAAGTATATTGACGTACCTCCATCCTTGATTGCTTTTGAAGGGTCCTGTTCCTCTTTAATTACTCGACGTCGAAGCCTGTTTTCGTGCACATTGGAGATACAATTGATCCATCGCATCTTCGTAATGTCGCACACGTCGCCACAACAGGCGCTGGATCATGAGAAAATCCCAGTGGAAATGGAAGGCAACAATGGGATCCTTGACAGAATTGAAAAAGGGAATGGAAATGAAAGCGAGGTTTCCGATGAATCGTTTGCAAATCCAACGGGGATAAATGAAAAGGCATTAGTCAGGAAGTTGGATTGGAAACTATTACCTGCGCTTACATTGCTTTATTTGTTGAGTTTCTTGGATAGGAGCAACAGTATGTTTTACTCCGTTTTCTTTGCTTTAATTTCCTCTCTATCTTCAGATCCGGGGTGGAAGAGGGTTCAATTGGAAGTTGCGAATGGATAATTAGAATGGTACTGACCGAAATCTAAACACGCAGTCGGAAATGCGAAACTAGATGGATTAACGACGAGTTTGAACATCACCGGAAACCAGTATCTATTGACACTGACAATTTATTTCATCGGATACGTTCTTTTCGAAGTACCTTGCAACATCATACTTAAACGCACAACACCCAAAATATGGCTTCCAACACTCATGCTTCTATGGGGAATCGTCGCGACCTTGATGGGAATTTCTACAAATTATGCAGGTTTTTTAGCTGCAAGATTCTTCTTGGGTGTTACGGAAAGTGGATTGTTTCCTGGTGTGGTATTTTATCTGTCAATGTGGTATAAAAGAACGGAAACACATTATCGAGTTGCGTTGTTCTTTTCTGCAGCTTCATTGGCTGGTGCTTTTGGTGGAATCTTGGCTTGTGGCATTAGGTTCATGGATGGAGTGGGAGGATTGAAAGGGTGGAGATGGATTTTCATTATTGTAAGTGTCCTGAGACTAACGGTTGAAAGATATTGTGCTGACCAATGAACAGGAAGGACTTTTAACTGTCGTTGTCTCCCTCTTAGCTTACTTCTTCATCCACAATTACCCCTCAACCGCACCATTTCTCACGGAACCAGAACGCTCTTTTATTCATGCGCGTCTCAAGTCTTCCACCGATGCAACCAATACTGAGCCGTTCACTTGGGCCAACGTCCGCGCCGCTTTCGGGGACTACAAATTCTGGCTCTATAGTCTCGGTTTCCACACAATGTCTCTACCACTCTACACCCTTTCTCTTTTCTTCCCTACCATCATCTCAGCCCTCGGCTACAAAGCCGCTACCGCACAACTTCTCACTGTCCCCCCTTACGCATTCGCCACAGTTCTTACAGTAATCATCGCCATCCTCGCAGAAAAAACTCACAAACGTGCTCCTTTCATTCTATTCTCATCCTCGTTTGCAATCATCGGCTATGTTATCCTTCTCGCAACTCCTCACAACAAACCCGGCATCTCCTATCTCGGAACCTTTTTCGCAGCCGGTGGAATTTACCCCAGTACCGCTATCGTGCTTTCCTGGCCCGCGGCAAATGTAAGCGGTCAGACTAAACGGGCCACGGCGACTGCGATGACGATTACAATTGGAAATTTGGGAGCAGTTTTGGGTACGCAATTGTATAGACCGGCGACGAGTCCTAGATGGATTTTAGGTCACGGATTTGCATTGGGGTATTTGGTGGCGAATTTGGTAGTAGTAGGGACGTTATGGGTTTGTCTGGAAAGGGAAAATAAAGAGAAGAAGAGGAGAGAAGAAAGTGGAGAGGTGGGAGATGAGGTTTTGAAGAATGATGAGGATGTTAGGTGGATTTTTCAGACTTGAGTTTAGGGGACGAGTGTGTTTGTTTTTGCTTCATTGTATAGCAAATTTATAATTTGTTCTTATGATCTCTTGTGTATGACCACAAGATGGATCTTCTTTCACTGACTTTAGGGAGAAATGTATGAGAACACTATGCTAAATTCTATTTCTGTGGTTAGATCAGAAGGGGAATAGACCTATTTATAGATTTGAGACGTCTAGAAAGAGATTTTCCCCACGGTATACTCCATTCATTGATATATACAATATGAGCTGCAAAGAAGTCAGAGTTACTTGGCAAAGTTGGAGACCTGGGAATGACCAGAGAAATTGTCTAGGTAATTAAGAAGACACACTACGAGCCAAGTTGGGCGTTGTTGCTATACAGCTAGATCTCGGATGCCGATGCATCGCATCCCGAGTCGTAGGAATATCATGCCGATTTTTCAAAGATTGTTGGTATTGAGATTTAAGAATGACGGGCCATGATATTCCATACGTAGCTTCTTCGGAAAAGCCAAATCCGGTCAGCGATTTGACTTTCTGGTTAGATCACGTGAATCTTCCAAAGTTGGTTGGAGCAGCGGCTCTGGGAAGGAATCAAGGTATCGTGGATAACCCGCATACTACTCTCACTGCTGCTGGAGACGTAGATGCTTGGACGAAGATCACAGCTTTAATCAAATTTCCGACTGCTGATTTCAATATTGTTACGCTTTGAGTGTAATGAGAATTGTATCGAATGGCGGGCTGGCTTGATCAAAACCTGCCGATTTGAGGTTGCTACTTTTCGATTATGGTGGAAATGTAGAAAGAGAGAGGGGGGGGAGGTTGGTTTATATAATGAATTTCTATAATAATGATAAATGTATCGAATAGGGCTTTCAATTGAAGAGAGAAAGCCAGTATACAAAGCTTTATTTATATGAATCCTGATTATGAGATTCGCTGGAAAAATCTCTACGCATATAAGCCGGACTTCAAGCACAGGGACAGACTCGTCTAATTAGCAAAATGGCGTACTGTAGTTTTGCACGTTCTCCTTATGAGAATACAACACTTCAATTGGTACTTAAGAAAGAATTGAATGGTAATGACTAGCTGGCAGAATAGGTACTACAAGAGCTTAGACGAGTATCTTCCCATTTGATAATTTTGATTGGTCCGAAAGGACATCTGAAAAGTTGGATGAATATAGTTGGTATACAAGTGTCAGATATCTACTGAGGCAATACAACAAGTTGGTGGATCAATTTTGCAATTTTGGTTAGTTGAAATGTCAGCAAGGTTAAGCTGAGAGCTGAGATGATCAGCGTAGGGAGGGCTCGTTGAGTTTCAGATGCTCAGTTAGAGTGGAGAGTATATATATGTACTCAGATGTGGAAAACAGAGACAACAGATGTTTGGAAAATTAGATCACCAGTTACATTATATATGAAGACGTCAGATATCAAATGAGCATGTCATTGAATTCTTTTTAATCTGACTTCGGTATCCCTCAAGACATCAAAGTCGATGCGCTGATACACAATTGAAGGAGCTTTTGATCAGAAGTTCCCACGAAACGAATATTGCCTATCCCGTAAGTCCAGAGCACCTTCGCCATATTGTATACCGTACTCTTATCCGTGGATCAATTGCCTTTCTTAGGTTCCCATGTCATACGATCAGTCTTGCATATTGTTTGGTCTCCTTCTCCCCAAAACACGTTACCGCCAGTGACACTGAGATCATCACTGATTCCCCAACTAGATTTTCGATATTTTAGTCCTGCATTGTGAATACAGGGATTATGATAAGCTTACCTGCGACTGCACCATGAAGCATCAGTTGTTCGAGAAGTGATGATAACATTCTCCCAGACAATTGGTCCAAAATCCCAAACAGCGTCCTCACTTGGGCGGAAGTAAAGTCTGACCTGCAGTATCAAATTAGTAACTGGTCATTTGACGAGCAGGATCTAATCAAACTTACAACGTTCAATTTTCCAGCAGTGGGAACCTCTTGTGCTGTTTTCGGATTAGTATATTGCTAGCATACTTGCAGGGCCACTTACGAATATTTACTACATCAATCTTTGTTCTTATCTTCTGACCAGCGTTGATACCTTGGGGACCAGGTACGATAGTGACATTGTTGATAGTAGCATGAGTTTCAGTATTATACTCGAGAGTATTGTGAATCTTATCGCCTGGCAAAATATTGTTGTCTGTAGCAATACCACCATTACCACTATGAAGCCACCAGTTAGTTTCCCAATGTCATGTGCAACGGCAGGAATACATACTGCATCATATCGACTTCCCATTTACCGGGGTTATGATCGCTGAGACGATTTTCATGGGCATAATTGTGAGCTTGATTGGTGCAACCTGCTCCAATTTTATGTATGCCGACTTTGGAGAATGGAGGGACAGTGACTGTGGCCTCAAACTGGGGTTTTTAGCTGGCTCAAATGATGAAAACCCTAGATTCAACTTACCTTTGTGATATCAACATCGGCATGAGGACCAATAGTAAATTCGTAGCCTTGAACATTAACCAAAACGTTGATGAGAATGAAGCACAAGGCGACGAAGAATTTGACTTGGTAAGCCATTGCTAATGTTTTAAGATAGAATGAATTGTCTGTTGGAAGCCTTTGATCTTTATGTATTGTAAAGAGTTGATGATTTAAATTTTTCTAAACTGGGCGGGCGACTTTAAAGGAAAGGAAAAAGGATACAAGCGCAAAGTCGCCTCGCTAAGGACCCGCTAATAGTGTTCGCTTGTTTGTTTTACAAACCTTTTTACATAAGTGGTATGATCGTTTAGTTGAATGACAGGCGGTAGCCAGTCAAAGCTCTATGTGAATTTGATACAATAACCCGTAGCCATACTCTCTGCATACACATGGCCAGCTGTTCCCAATTCAAGCTCGGCTTCAAATTATATTACGGTACCATTAAGACCGTTATGATACGAATTTTTGAAATTCTTGGTCAAAACACATTCAATAATTTGAAGTGATCCGCTAATGGAGGAGACCTGACAAAGAACCCTCAACAAGTGCCCTTAATTGATCTTGTATTCTTGAGGTGATCTCAAACCAGTGAATCAAATTCGAGCACAAGATTTCAAGGAATGGTACAATCATGCAAAAATTCAAGAGCAAGTTATATTTCACTGGTTCAAACGTTTATAGCATTTTATAGTCTAACTTATCACTAGGATGGTAGACCACAATTCAAATTGAATCTGACATACTTGTACATTAATTGAGTTGGGTATATGCTAAAATATGATGCTCAATATTCGACTGTCAAAACCTTCTTCAGAGATCCCATTTCCTTTTCCCAGGCCTCAACCTTTCTTTGACTTGCCGCTAATTTGTCCAATAGATATTGAATACGAGGACCAACCTCGTGAGGCTGCTTAGGTAAAGTACCCAGCATGACTAATTCATTCTCGTACTTATCAATACTCTTCGTCTCAATCTTAGTGAGCTCGGTAAGAACTGCCAAGTCAAGTCTGCTTCGTAATACACGATCTTCGCTTAAAATTTTGAAGGCAGCTTGATATACTGGCTTTCCAGCTTTGATACTTTGTGGGCGACCCTTGAAGGTCTTGATCGTGATCAATTCCGCTGCGGAGAGTGCTTCGAGAACAATTTCTCCGTTCGATGCCGATGATGTAAGGGATGATTTGAATGTATCAGAGAGCAAGACCTGATTATATCGTAGAGTATCGTTCTCAGCAAGAGACTTGACCAGGTACCATGCCTGCTCGACTGACCATTTCCGGTCTCCCTTCTCAGCAGATAAAAGATACATTTTCATAATCTCCGAAGCGCTTTGCTCCACAATCTCAGCTACGGCGCGTTTCGGAGTTTGTCCAGTTTTCAGTCGACGTGCCAAGAATTCAAGATCGGTCAACCGGCCTCCTAGGACTTCGATGCACTCATCCAGTTCTGAAAGATCTTCTCGACGTTGAGATTCCGAAAGCTTCTCCGTCTTATCTTTAGGGTTTTCTGGATCGTTTTCTAAATGACTGATGACGAATTTCTTGGCTACTTGGGGTGTGATATCACCAAGCGCTATCTGTCTGAAAACTCGATCCGGAAGCGCTTTACTCAAGGATTTAGAGTAAGAAATATCGTTTGTTAAGAATATGACATGAGCAATGTTAGAAGTAGTGAGACCAGCTGCCCATTCCGAGATCTTGTCGTAAACGATGCTACTGTCCTCATTCTTGTGTAGAAAATTGTCGATTACGACCACAGGTCTGTGTTCTGGATGTGCTTCAAGCCAATCATCGTCAGCCAAATTAGCGTCCTTATCATCCTTGTTTCGGTTTTGTAAAGCGACCTGTTTGAGAGCAGTTGCAGTATTTTGCCAAATTTTGGCAAGCTGTGAGTCCAAGGTTTCTGAAAATCCAGATTTAACGCCAATTGTGCCTTGTGCAGCCAAATCGATCAGACTGCTGAAACTGTTCATCCAGGAGAAAACCGGACGATATCCAACAGTGGCAGCGGCTGCCGCAATGGTAGCCGAGTCGCCCCTCGCTTCCTGGATAGGTTTGCAATCTATAAGTAAGGTGTTTTGTCGACCTTTCAGCGCTTGATCAATGATGAGCTCTTTCTTGCCTGATCCTCTTGGTCCTTGTACAACGATAAAAGTATCGGCAGTCTCCATAAGCCAAGTTTGTAAATCTTCAATGGCTTGTTTTCTATCATCCCAAATGGCACTAAGGCTTGCTTCTTCTGCTTTGTGCACACGAAAATAGAAAACGTCCTTTGCTTGACTTGCGAACCATGCATAGATCTTATTGTCCTTGAGACTGAAAGCATGATCGATATGTGCCTTGATGAAAAAGGTTCGAATTGGATCAAAAACCGCAACAGTTACAGTAGCAAGGATGGCGGCTACAGCTGGAATAACGACACGTGGGTGACTAGTAAGCCATTCTCTAATATGGTGGACTTGCATCTTAGCCTCAAATGACAGTCGAAGTATAGTGCCAGACTTTCCACCACCCAGTTCTTCAGTAACTTTCAAGCCATGTAGGCAATTTCTAGCCATGATTGAGTGCCTAATATTAGCAAAATCAAGCATAGCAAATTTTGGTAGAAGTTTGGAATCCGAAGGTTGCGAAGAGATCTCTGCGATTTTTCCATATTTTCGGAACAAGCTGTAAATAACCTCTTGTGAAAGTTCGGCTACTTCGCCGCCAGGGGTAGAAGGCACAAACTCAACACGAATTCGAGTGCTTGGGAATCTGTACAAATCCTCGAGCCAGGGTTTCCCGCGTACAAGTTTTGCTCGCATTTGTCGAAATGGATTAAACCAAGGTTTGATTGGCTTCTCCTTCAAATATCCTGAGATGAGCCCTTCTATCTCCTGAGCCGTTATGCTCTGATCGTGTGAAAATTTGATGAATGCGCCTCCCTCTTTAAGACGAGGTAGAATCTCAGTTACTTTCAATGGGACGCTGGAGGGTATCGCACGCTTCACTAAACTCAGAGGATCGTATTTTGAAAACACCTTATTATTGAATCGATAAAGAATATCTGGTAGGCCTGAGTCCATTCTTCCATACCAAGGTATTCGAAGAAGCCATCCGAGCTTTATTGGAAAAATATCTTTGAGAAAGTACATCAGCAAGCTGCTTTGAACTTATGACCCCATCAAGAAGTATGAGAACTCACTATCCAAGAACAGGATTCCCTCATTAGCTCCAGCAGTAATATGCCCAGTTTCATTCTCTCCAATTTGCGTACTCTCTCTCCTCACACCTTTATTGCCCTTCAATCTATCATACTTCGGTCCTTTTAGACCAACTCTAGCAAAATTCCCGACATTGCCAAAATCACGCGTTTGAAGTCTGGGAGGGCGCGGGGTACGTAACGCCGGCACGCTCGTAGGGTTGAACAAGATGCGCCTGTTCATAGTTGCGCCTACCTCTGAAAGTATATCTTCATGATTTGTCGTACCATTTATTCAAGGACAAAACTCAAAAGAGGTAAATGAAGTTCTCTCGAGTTTTAGTTGGAAGAAGGCTCAAACCAAGCCGAACAAAAGGCGGGAAGCAGTGTCGTCATACCTCGAAAAGAACTGACAGCCTTGTCACGTGAGAATTCGTAGAAACTTCCCCGCGTGCTGAATTTTGTTTTCAAGATCCACTCGCTTCAGCCTCGTAGTCCTCGAAAGACAAATTTCCAACGACAATCTACAATGGGCTGGTTTTCATCATCTGCTCCCTCTGCGGAGAAACCGACTTCCTCAAATTCAAGCGATCCAGTCCCATCTCCCCAATCTTCCACACCCACACCTCAAACAAAAACTCTCTCTCGCGATGAAATTGCAGAACAAGAACTGAATTCCTTTCTCCGGGAATTGGAGGCCGACACCCATTCTTCTAGTACAAAATACAACCGTGTACCCCGGATACCTCCACCAGAACCTTCCCATTCTCAACCATCCACTCAAGCTCCTCCTCAAAGTGACCCCTCGGAACCGCTCTCTATCCAACTCCTTCCCACAACCATGTCCTGCCGCACAGCCTTCGATGCAGCATTCTATTGCCAGTCCTTTGGCGGCCAATTCAATAATTTATATCGATATGGCTCTGCACGAGATTGTAGCGAGTCATGGTCTGACTTTTGGTTTTGTATGAAAACGAGAACGTATGCCGATAATGAGAAGGCCAAACTGATCAAGGCACGATGGATTGAGAAGGAGAAGAGAAAATATGGAGATCCGAGTGATAAGAATAGGGAGTTAGGGAAGAGTAGTGAGGATGTGTGGAAAGGAAGAGAGCAGAGGTTAGATTGGGGAGAAGCATTTTGTGTGGAGGAACCCAAATGGACAGGAAGTGACGATGAATGGAGAAGGATGGAGAAAAAACACAGGGAGGCACAAAAAAGTAATCTTTGAAATGAGCTCAACATACTAGTATGGTTTCATTTGGATCAGATATGTAAAATGTCTCGATGTATAACAGGAAGGGGATCGATTCGGGAAGAGAGCTTATGGTTTTCATGAAGGCGTTAAATGTTTTGATAGTGAGTCATAAACTATCATATTGGTCTAGGTAGTACTTAGATAATTGTCCATATAACGAGAAATAATAATTCCTCCGTCAAATCCCTGGAATACGGCTGCCCCAATCCTTTATCGAGCCTAGCCAATCCTCCTGTGTCGCTTTATTCTTTCCAATCTTCGAACCAGAGTAATATATACAATCGTGGACCCGTGATAATCATACCTAAAATGCGCCTTGCCCAAACCAAAGTACTGCCCATTCTACACCTAAGTCAAACTCCTTGATCAGGTCAATTCGAATTTACCCATAATAATACACCTACATAATACACCTCTCCTACATGCCTGGTTGTCTTGCCATGCCCATACCGTTTTGCATCTGCATACCTGGCGGGAAACCTTGCTGCCCACCTGCTTGCATCTTCGCTTTAAAGTTTTGGAGTACTATGCTCTGGGCTTGCATTTGTAATTTTTTCTTCAAAAGGTCTGGTAGGCCTTGAGGATGTGCGCCAGATGCCACCTCTCTATTGTAGAGTTGTTTATATACAGCGGCCATCTGCTGATGAGTTTGCAGCGGGTTGGCGTGCATGTATTGTTGTGCCATGGTCTGTGGGTTCATTGGTTGCTGCTGTTGGGGATGTTGGTGGTGTTGTTGTTGTTGTTGTTGTTGTTGTTGCTGTTGCTGCTGCTGCTGCTGCTGCTGCATTTGTAATTGTTGTTGTTGCTGCTGTTGCTGCATTTGCTGCTGTAATGCCATGCCCTGCATATTCTGCATGTTCATATTATTCCCCATGAATTGCTGATTCATGTTCATATTCTGAGGCATGCCAGCTTGTCGCATAGCAGCTAATTGATTTTGATAACCTTGAGCTAATTGATGGTTTGGATTATTAGCATTCGCTTGCATCTGTAATTGCCTCATTTGTTGGTGCTGCATTATTTGTTGAGGAGTCAATTGCTGTCCATTAGGCATTACTCTCATACTTTGAGCTTGCATCTGCTGCTGCTGTTGAGCTCGTAACGCCATCAGATATTGTTGCGTTTCGACGGGCGACATGCTATTTATACCTTGAACATGCAATTGAGCGGAGTTCATTCCAATCTGGCCCATTCCAGGTGCTTGGGCCATCACGCCTTGCAGTGGGCTCCCTTGGCTCATCCTTGGTGTGAGTCCTCGACTCAAAGGAGTAGATTGCATGTTAGGAGTCGCGTTATGCATGCTAGGTGTTCCTGCATGACTTTGCTGGCTTCTTTGAGCCACCATGCCATGAGCTGCAATGGGTGCAGGATGATTTTGGTGAACAACAGAACCTGGACGAGGAGGACTGCCACCCATGCTCGACGTAGAGTGTTGCATTGGGTTATTGGCAATACCATTATTGACTGTCGGCGATGCCTGGCTGTGCGGAGTTCCATTTCGAACGATTGGTGAAGACATTTGGGCCTGGGTACCTTGATGAGGGTGGAATCGTTGCGCCTGCATACCATTCGAGACAATTCCATTGGCTTGAGATGGATGTGCATGGGGACCTTGCGTTTGAGGAGGCATACCCTGCAAAGCCTGTGAATGCTGCTGCTGCTGCTGAGCTACAGCGCGTCTTTGAGCTTCTTGTTGCTGCTGCTGTTGTCTTGCCAAGTTCTGACGTCTTTCTAGTTCCTTTTGTCGAGCTTCAGCTATCTCCTGTTTCCGTTGAATCTCTTCCTCTGCCTTAGACTTTCGCTGAGCCTCTGCTTCTGCTGCCTTCTTCAAGGCTTTCTTATCTTCGATATCCTTTCTGATATTTGTGAGAGCGTTAAATTTCTCGAATCGGGCTTCGAATCCACCACCAGCCTGGCCAGCACCATCAGCAACATTGATACCTCCAGCGCCCCGGGCAACAGTTGCGAAACGTTGTTCGTCCAAAATGAGCATATAGCGTTGTTCATCGGCAGCAAGCGCTTCATCGGCAGCCATCTCTGCGACTGTTCTTTTACGGGATTTGGGCTGAGGAGGCTTCTCTAAGTGCATAGGGTGAGCCAACGATTCTAGTAGCCGTGAACATTCTGTTGCACTGGTTGCAGGCTCAAGAGCCAAGGGGGCTGTAGTGGCTAGGATAATCTGAGCTTCTGCTGCGTATATATTGCCGCAATTAAACTCAGATTTAGCCAATTTCAATCTTTTGGCGGCAGGTAGCATATTCAAGCCAGGAGTTGGTGGGACAGTTCCAAGTGGTGTAGGTGGTTGCGCTACTGTAGCTGATGTACTTCCATCGGAACGTTCTTGGCGCTTGTCCATATCTGGTGTGTGAGGTGCAGTAGAATTACGAGCAATTTCGACATAGGTACTAATTGGTGTTGGAAACAGCACGCACGTTGTCACTTTGAGTTTTGCTGGTGCAGGGCCTGTCTTGTTTTTCTGGGAATCGTTCGAAGTGCCCGGCGCAGGCATATTCTCCTTATCTTGCTGAGCAGATGTCCTTGATTTCGTGGGGCCATCGCTAATTTGTTCTTTTGAGGGTCTACTTTTATCTAGGTCGGATCGAGGGTACGACGCATATGGGGATGGCGTAATATAACTACTGAGTGTATGAATCGAAACGCCTTCCTTGCTCCCATCCTTCGGTTGAGATGAGGGTTGTTGGGGAGCAACAGATTTGTGATCGAGGATCTGGACAATCATGCAACCTTCGTAGAAAGCTACTTCGTTCAGTATAAAATAATCTACCAATTCATGAGGTATAGTTTTCTGTCTGAGGTGATCTAGGAGTACTCTCATTGGAGAAGTGTAAGAAAAACTGTTCTGTTGTTGATCGAATCGGAAATGCGTCGCGTAAAGGTGTATGATCAGGGAGGGGGGGCATTTGCGGTATTTATGAAGAATATAATGCTCAGTTTTGACTAGGAGATTTTAGCATGTGTATGAGCCACGGAAAGTAGCAAGAAGTTTACCATATGGTTGTGATTGCGCAACTTGTTGTATAACGAACTCTTCTGCAACACTGCCAGATCTCATGCCTGCACTATTGTTTTTGATTCCTCGACCAATTGTGTGCCCAAAACGATTTCGATTCGCAGATCGAGCCCCCGAAGAGTTTCCACTGCCATTTGTTGTAGTGGAGTTTTGGAAATTTTTGGAGCCGGATGGCAGTCTTCCAGCGGACATTGATGGGGACGGAGACGAAGTCGATGAGTTGATGCCGTTTGTTTGAATAGACATGGGCCGTTTGGCTTTGTTAGTCGCCTGAGCGACCGATGCCGCCGGCGCCATTTTTTAAGTTAAAACCTCAGCAAGATATACTTCTGCTAAATTATTCAACTTGTCGCAATGGTCACTGTACTCTGCGCGATATCGATAGTTTGTTGACCTTCCATCTATTACAATCGATAGGTTCTGTCGAGTAATTTGATGTATTCGGAGACGCGACTTTCTTCTGTGATTCCGATTAGAAAGATATACAAGGAAAATTGTCGCGATTCTATGATGCAATGCGATATCGAATCTGATGATTTGCTCGAGGGGAAGTTGGGGTGAGGTGTGGAGACCAGAGCCGCTAGAGTCTCAAGCGTGTGAATAAGGTTGTGTCACCTGATGAAGAGTCTTATACACCGCCTTATTATGCCACATTCACATTCTTTGTTCAATGACAACTTCACAGAGCACATTCAAATTCTAGCATCATTAAGCGTCAATACTACCCAAATCAACATTGTCAACCTATTCCAAGTGTCGATTACGTTGACTGAACTGGCAATTGGTGGTAATTACCATACTACAGATATCATGGATGTAAGTATAGGTGTCTCTTTGTAGGTTCCTGCAAGGTAAGAGTAAGTCGATATTACTTTGAACCGAAAAGTATTCTTCTACGTTTCCATCATCTGTCTGGTGCTTCCCATGTTATGCGAGTTGATTCCTGATCTTTTGTAATTCAAGAAACCCTCGCAATCATCTAAATTCTGGATCCATTGAACGCCTGTAAGCAGCACACTCCAATTTCGAGCATAACGCCGTATGAATTGAACAGATCGTCTACCACACAACTGAATCTACAGCAAATAAGAGAGTTATGGAAACAATCCAAGCATGGTCTCGAGTGCACAGCTTCTTTTGGAAATTGTAATTGGAGGAGATATTTCGGATCGCTTTCGCGCTGAGTTCATGATCTGCAAACATCGCTTGACATTGAGAAGCTCTGGTAGTGCAGCTTGCCCAGATTCGTGAACATTCAGATGAATTTTTGGGCCAAATTAAGCTCTCTCGAGTAAGTAAGGACTCGAGAATGGGTCGCCTCATATTCTTGCACTAACGTAAGTCATGGCGTAATGCGTCTAATGGCGTAATGCGTCTAATTGCGGGGAACCACTCTATTAAAATCTCAATTACTCAACAATCAACTATAATACAATCTCCAGTATCACTTTCAGATTCATCTTCAACTTCTTCTCCAATATCCTCTTCAGTTTCAGTTTCATATTCAATTACTTTCCCTTTCCCTTTTCCTTTTTTCATTGTCTGTACCTTAGTAGCTTTTTCGACTTCCACTACTGCATCACATAATTCTTGCGTAGAAATATGAAAATGACCCTTCAAAACTAGTCTCTTTCCTTTCTTACGTATCGTACGTTTCTTAATAATAGCTCGTAAATTATTCGCATCGTGTTGGTGAACAATACTTTGAGCTCGAAGTTGCTCACTCCCAATCGTCAATTTTCGAATGTATTGACGAACCGGGGTTGAAAGAGTCGTATCATTTTCAATTGTTGAATTTAAAAGGTTATTTGCTGTTTGTAAGATTGCTACATCCGGGGGTGAGCTATTGACGAAGACTTGGTTAAAAATATCAAATTGGGTTGGTTCTTTGGATATTTCGACTTCGGGGGTAAACTCTCGACCCAGTGTACGGAACACTCTCTGTGGATTAAATGGATGTAACCCAGCTCCCCGCCATGCCGATTCGATATTTTGATGATGGCATACGTCGGCTCGAGCTTTAATATATGCCTCCATCCATTCAATCTTTTGTATTCGTACAAGTTGAGCTTGATTCAAATCAGAAAGTGCTGCGGTGAGCCGTTTTTTCAATGGACCGAAAACCGCAACATCAAGTGGCTGAAGCAAATGCGAGGTATGAGGAGGAAGTATAAGAAGTACAATTCGATTTTGAAGGCAGTGAGCTATAAAGCTTCCACTAATATGAGAATCGTGGCCATCGCAGATGAGAAGCCGATATTTGCCACCTGCTTTTGCACGAGTTGCAGGTTCGAAAACGCGTTTTAGCCATTCTAATCCATGAAGATTGCTTGTCCAGCCCTTTGTATTTGCTGAAAAGAACCAGCTACCAAGAACTTCCTTCGGAATCCAATTTTGAAGGACATTTTTACCTTTAAAAATCCCGAGTGGTGGAAGAATGGATCCATCCGCACAAATACACTCTACCATTGAAATCCACTCTTGACGGCCTGGATGTGCTTGATGTTTTGTACGAAGTGTAGAATCGATAATAATTCGAGTTGATTCCATTGTCCCAATTGAATGTCCAGATTCATCCATATTATATTCGTCTTTCTTCTCAATTCCATAATCCTGAATCGCTTTTTGATACGCGTCAAACCAAGTACTACATGTTTCCCTGGTTGCACCATCCATTCTTACAGATTCAATTCGACGGCCAATAACAACTGTAAGATGAGGATGTCGTTTGATAAATCGTGGAACCCATTCATGACCAAGAAGGTGTTGTGGTGGGAGTTCAAGGGAGTCAAATGAGGGGCAATCCAAATTATAAGTCCGTTTTGAACGTAACTCCTCAGCCAATTCTTTTAACAACTGATGGCCTGGTGAATAGCCGCTAATTGTCAATTGCTTTATCCACTTAAGAAGTACATTCTCTTGTACAGCAGAAAGTTTCTGTTGCGATTGACGTGCTTCAGAACGCGACGAACCCCCTTTGACGCGTCGCGTCACAGTATCTTTAGAAAGCCCCAGTTCTTTTGCAGCTTCATATGAAGACTTATACTTTCCATTTTGAACTCCTAATACTGCTTCAGAAAGTCGAGATTCCATTTCCTGCACTTTTAAACTTTTTCGACGGACCATTGTTGAATTGTTGCTTTTTTGATGGGGTGGTCCCCCACAATTAGACGCATTACGCCATTAGACGCATTACGCCATGACTTACGTTACTGCAGTTGTCAGACATGGAGGAAATTTACCACGAAGGGAATCGTTCATCATCTTAAACGTCAGTCCAATTTAGGCATAATCTTCACTATTCGCCTCTCTTGAAGAATCCGGGGTAAGTCATGAGATCTGTTCCCTAGTAAATGTCAAGGTTGTACGACTTTATCCACGTTTCCTGTGATTTTAGCCAGAATTGCCAAAGTGCGGCTTCATGCTTCTGGTCCCTGGATGCCGTATGAAACCCATTTTAACGGACATCAAATGGTTAGTGAACTGAATAACCTTTTGACTCTCCTACTTTTGTTTTCCTCCGAAGAAGATTTTTCGTATTAATAGTTTAATCCATAATTCAATTTGAGTTGAGCAAGTTATTTAATCGTATAAGTTAGTCTATTACTTTTTGGTCATGATAAATTATTATGCTGAGATATTACGAGGTGATTTTTCAACTACTTAACAAGTGCATGGAATAGAGGAAAATGGGCCAGTCCTCAGGAAATTTTCCTGTGGTTCTATTTTTAATATTATGGTTTCTTGATCATTATTATACTTTGTACAATCACAAATCGCATAATTTCAAATGTCCATTGGTAACAGAGTGGGTAGAGCATCTTGGCTGTCAAGCAGCCACAAACCACCCTAGGCATACTCCGTAGATCGGGGTCTTTATTTAAAAGACCTTCGATACCGAAGCTATACCACATTAGAATCTTTGTTCTCATGCAGATAACTGTATATTGCGATTTTCTTAGGTTTGTCCAATCTACTGAGCGCAGGGTCTACCTGGGCAACATCCCCTATTAATCCGTTCAATATTTCCACGAGTGAGCGCTTGTACCATGATACTTGTAATGGATTCTATATAAATACAAGCCTTGCTCGCTCTCACTTTCCTTCATTCAACCTTCCACGCACTTCTAACTCTCTTACCTTTCACTCCCATCACCATGAAGCTCACCCAGTCCTTGGTTTCTTTAGTCTTGGCAACAATTGCTGTTGCTTCTCCTGCTCCTACTCCTACTGTTGAGAAGCGAGCTACAACAATCTGTGGCCAGTGGGATACTGTTGCAACTGGGACTTATACCGTCTTCCAAAATCTCTGGAATATAACCGGTTTCACTGGTTCTCAATGCTCAACTGTCACTTCAGACACGAGCAATTCTCTTGTCTGGTCCACTAGTTGGTCATGGGCGGGAGGGTCTTCCCAAGTCAAGTCTTATGCAAATGTAGGGCTTAATATGGCAGCTAAGCAGGTTTCTGCTATCTCGACCATTCCAACTACTTGGAAATGGAGGTTAGTTACTTCATATCTGTTCAATGAACCTAGCTGATCATAACCCTTCTAGCTATACTGGCTCTAACATCGTTGCTGACGTTTCCTACGATTTGTTCTCCTCGTCCACTGGTACTGGCAGCGCAAACTACGAGATCATGATCTGGTTGAGTGCCCTTGTGAGTTTTTTAATACCATTGCTATTCATATTAGATTGCGAAGACTAACGATTCTTAGGGTGGCGCAGGACCAATTTCAGCTACCGGGTCACCCGTTGCAACTCCAACAATCGCTGGAGTGTCATGGAAGCTCTACTCTGGACTCAACGGTGCCACCAGAGTCTATTCCTTCGTCGCTTCCAGCACAGTCAACAGCTTCTCTGGTGACTTGAAGACATTCCTTACATACTTGACCTCCAGCCAAGGATACCCATCCAGCCAATATCTCACGACTATTCAAGCTGGCACCGAACCATTCACTGGTAAGTCCATCCCCTAACTCATCTGACTAGACGATTAACTCATGTAAAACAGGAAGCAATGCTGTCTTCAAGACGACTGCCTACTCTGTATCGCTCAGCTAAATTCCTGAAGAAGGGAATGAGACATGTTAGTGCCCTTGAAGGAATTGCATCTCAAGGGATGCGAAGGAACATTGTACATATTTTCCCCTTCAGCGAATATTTTCGAACTTATGGAAATTGTATACATGTAAACAGATTTTATGCACCGGCTACATGATAGCATTACTTGAAGATTTCTTTCACTTTCTGACAAGTGAAAAATTCCAAAATGCGCAACAAGATACCAGAACATGAATATTGATAAGAACTGTCACTTACAGTCGAGTCAGTCCATGGGCTGGTGAATATGTGAGCTCTGGATGAATATAGACATATGACAAAACCAACAGGTATAATAATGGACTCGTTCCTATGTTTATAATACCAAAATAGTATTAGCAAATAATTTGTCTTAAAGCATCGCAAAACTTACGTGGTAGAAATTCAAATATCCGATTTTCATGAAACATTGAAACATGGGCTTTTGAAAATCGCAGTTGGATATGACCGTTGATCAGATTTGATGCCGTATTCGGAAGTTCAAAAATTCACTGCTAAACTTATTAATGTCATTGCAAATGACTCTGGCCAATAATTACAAAGGTTTTGAGGACGCCATACAACTTGTAAGATGTTTGAAGCATCAGTCCAAGCCAAATATTGAAAGAATAATGTTGTCAAAATATCGAACCCATTCTAGATTCTAGATGGCATAATATTGGATCTGACCGTTCGAATCAACCTTTTAAGTTTATACATTGAGATTAAGGTTAATGCAACATCGAGTTTTTTTCTTATCACAATTCAATCAATTAAGCTTCATTTCTTATCGAACTCTATATTATTGTTTCCGGCTCGGGTGGTTCGGATTAACATAGCAAAGTCCATACGAAGATACGATATAAAGGATCGGGAAGCCGAGAAAGAAAAGTCCGATATTGTAAAGCTAGTCTATTTTTGGTAAAGTCTCCCCTCGCGTAATTTTGTCGCCCACACTTTGGATAATTTTCAATTTTCAACATCTCTTTTCGAAACTTCGAACCACGACAATTTCCATTCCGCCCAAAGAACTTCATCGACAAACCCTTCGAACATATTACCAAATACCGCAAAAATGGGTGGTGTCACTGTTCGCGATGTTGACGTAAGTATACACAATTCTACAAGCTGCGAAATGGGGAAGGAATGAACTCAAGAACTCGATTT